TAAAGGAGGAAGGTGGGGAGAGTACCCACGAGGCTCGCGTAGGGCCACGGTGTTCAGAAATGTTGTCCCGAAGTCCCAAATAGGGGAAAGGAGGAGGAGCAATCCTCTAGTGCAGTGACTACAGATATAGTCACATGGTGAGGAAGTCCCAGAGGACAATGGGACTTAGTGGCCGGGCCTGCGGGCCTTGATCTAGTGGCAGTGTTGGTGAACATGGCCATGGACAAAAAAGGGACTTGGTAGGAACTGACAAAGGGATATTGGGGAAGGCTATTCCCCATGTCTATAGGCATCCTAAGGATGCTAAGGAGTGGATTTGGGTTGACCAATCGTGGACGGATGCCCAATCTTGGAGAGATGGGATTGTGATACAAGTGGTATTGGACCACTAGTGTGGCAAAGGTGAATGGGCATGGCCTTAGTGTAACGGGCCGATATGTTAGTGGTACCTTTGGGTGTCAGTCTTGGGACCGGACACGTGGAACACTTGGACTAAGTGCAAGGGATGAGTGGCATGGATGCCATCCTCGGGGCTAGCAAGTCCCAAGTCCTGAATTGGACTTAAGGAGGTTGTGAATGAGACTCTTCCAAGTGGTCAAAGGTGTGGTTAAGTGACTAAAGTGGAATGAAAAAATTAGTCGCTTACACGGGCAATGTTTCCTTAAGTCCAGAAGATGGAGACACAAAATGCCCGCCAATGCCTTCAACCTGTAGATCCCATATGGTAGGAGAAAGAGGAACGTGATGTCGGGCAGCAAAGTCTGTGTCCATGAAGTAGGAAGTTGCACCCGAGTTTAGTAGTGCCAGAGCCTTGAGTCTTGATTATCCGGTGAAAGAAAGGAGACATGGGATGCAGAAGTTGCAGGAATTGGTGGTGGCTTTGATAAAAGGTGGTGAGGAGCTTGATAAAGAAAAAAAGTGATTTTTATTCAAAGAGTCCAAATAGACAGCTCCTACTCTGTCTGGACAGGGTCGTTTCCCAACTGCAATAGACTTGAGGCAGAGTGAACTCGAGCCAGCTATTTTGTGATTAGGATCAGCACAGTAGAGGCAAAGATTATGAGATACTTGATGTTACTTCTCAGCAAGACTCAACTTCCCTCTGATGAGTCAGGGAGTACCAGAGATATCCACCAGGACTGGAGCAGTAGGTTCAGGAGTATGCCCCGAAGACTCAAGTTGGGATTCCTGAGTTTGGGACGGGAAAACAGCGGCATGGCCACTTTCCTGATGACGTTCAAAGAGACAATTGTCGCATCAAACATCTCTCTTGATGGCGTCCAACAGGTCTGTGGGATCCTCCATGGTGAGCAACAGATCCTTGACACCGTTGTTGAGGCCGAAACAAAATTGATCAATCAGGGCCCGCTCATCCCACTAAGTGTCCAAGGCAAGGAGTTGGAACTCTGCAGCATAGATTGAGGCAGGACAAGACCCCTGAGAGAGACATCTCATCTTTGTAGTGGCAGCCCGAACCTAATCCATCTTGCGGAAACATGCTTTGAGCTTCCTTTTAAATAATTGAAGATCCATCAGCTCCGAAACCACGACCCCTTTCATGCTCTTCTCCAGGAGAGGAGAAAACCGTGACAAAGTTGCATTTTCAAGTAACATCCCAATCGCACCCATTTGAGACTCGAGAGTGGGGTACCGCTGTTTTTGAAGTGCAAAGATCAACTCCAATTGGTTCATGAATCTGCGAAGCTCCGAACGCTTGCCTGAGAACTTCACCGGGAAACTCACCTTTGGTTCAAGAACTCTGCTTGATCCTTGAGCCGAAAGTGAAGCAAGTTCTTGTTGCATGTGAAGAAGGGTCGCCTTTAGCTTGGTATTCTCAGACTGGATTTTTGCATGGACTTTGGCAAAGAAATCAGGATGGCTTGGAGACTCCATCGGCAAAGAAGAAAGAAAAGGGGGGGGAAAAGGCAAAGGCAGTCAAACAATCTAAAGCAAAAGCAAAAAAACATAATCTGAATCAAATTGTCAAGACCCCTAACAAGATCAAAATTGGAAAATGCAGAAGACAAAGAGAAAAGCTACTGGAAATGAAGAAGAGGCTTTAGGCTGGCCTTGATTCAGATTGTGGAGAAATGGAACAAGGCTAACCTATATATACTATAGGTTGATGAAGCTCCACCACTCTTAGATCGAGGACGGCCTAAATATAGCTGTAGTCAAGGAAGTGCCATGTCATCATCAAGAATGTGGTTCGAGACTTAGGAATCATACGGGAAATTAGAGAGTTAGGAATAGAGAAGTGTCTCGAGAGTCAGGAATATGGTCTGCAGGTCAGGAATCCGACGAGAGTCAGGAATATGACAAGAATTAGGGGATTCCTGACAAAAACAACATTAAACGTGCACTCTCAGAGAAGCTAAAAAAATTACAAGCATGAATGCCCGATGCTACTCTTGGGCCATCTGCCTCATAGGTGACTCCATCGCAAAACTTGAAACCATTTGCTATGCTCCATGATTTGCAAAACTTGCCATAGAGAGCTCCACCACCAATGTGCTTCCAGTGCCAAAACACAATAAAACTCCAACTCGTAGCTCTATGCAAGATATTAACATTTTCCAACTTAAGGCTGGAGTGTGCTATCTTGCCTTCTACACAAGACAAGTGCGCTACCTCATCTTTAAGAGAGTCCTAGCCTTGTAATAAGGATTAAAGAAAGGGCACAAACCTCCTTCTAGAGAAGTAAACTCCAAATCATGTGTTGGAAAAGAAATGTATTGTAGCGCACCTGAATTTGGAGCCAAACTCCAAGCCCGTTGCACTACGAAACGAGGGTCCGGTACAATCCCACGAGCACCAGCTCCCCGTATCCAGCACCTGCACGCAAAATGGTGTCAGACGGAGTCTGGCATAATTTTGGCATACCGGTGGCCTAACGCGAGGAGGAGGGTACTCCACCGACTAGAGTAGCATGGAGCTTGGGCTTAGACCCAAGCCGGACACAAAACAAGGAGTGACATAGCCCAGCGGGAGTCAAACTAATGTCTCAGGTGGTCGGACATGCATTCTAACCACTATCCCTACTATACATTTGGGACCCCCCCCCCCCCCCCCCCCCCCCCTTGAGGGACACACGCTTTGGGCTTTCACCCCAAGCCACCCTTAGTACCAGGAGTTAGTCTCTGGGACAAGCTCGAAACTTACTAAATATGGAATGGCCTTAGATTGCGAATTTGGACACGGGACGAACACCATTGTATTCAGGCTGACCTCTACATTCCGTAGATATGCCAAATGAGCTAATCTAGACACTTTCCATAAATAGCATTTGGGATCGAAATGAGACTAACACAAAGGGCGTGATAGCAAGGGTGTTTGGCAGACACAGTAAGCTATCATCCAGCGATATTGAGGGACTAGTCTCAATACGCGAGGGTTCTTGCCAAGTTAGTGCAAGACAGAGCAAAATAGAACTAACAAGCCGGGCCAAGTATGTTTGGCTAAATAGACACTTAGGAATTCCTTCCTTATGCTTATTCGGCCAAGTACAGATTCTAAGTCCAGTTTACTAACACTTGGACAAAAGGGGTTAATAAAGGGAACCAGCAGTACTGACCTCCTGCCATCGTGGTAGTAAGAAAAGAGTGTTTGTAAGGACTGGCTGACAAGTATCTTTTGATACCCGAAGTCACATTCGTGACATGTATAAATCCCTTACGCATGTAGCATCGAATCAACCCCATTTGCCATTGGCCTCAATTGTGGCAACAATCTTTGCCACTAGATCTAAAAATCCTCCCTTTCTGATCTTTTGAGAAGAAAAATATTTTACTAGGGTAAAAAACTTGTATAAATGAAAGGTCTAGCTTTTCCCATACTAAATGTTTCCTTTTGCAATGCAGCAACCAAGATTTTTCTATAGCACAATCAATTAGGCACAACTTACACTTCCATAGTTGTTTATGTGGGGCTTTTGAATTCCTCACAATTAACCACACAAAAAAGAAGTATATTAAAGCCTAGAGATAAGAAATTCAATCTTTATCTTTACCTTTTCTTAAATTGATATCTTTGGAAGGAAAATCAACCTATAGGCAATCATAGTGTGGGAGATCCAAATCATTATCATCATAACCATTCCATATTCCAGCTAGGGAAGTTGATTCTCACAAAACCCTACTCTAATGAGCTCACTAAGGGTGCAGTTAAGTTGTATTTAAATGAGTATATTCATGATTTACCATAATTTTTTTAATTGTAATCCAGTTTGTTTCTCTTAAACTAGTATACAGTTAATCTAGCATAATTTCAAAGTACATGCATATAATATCTTTATCAATAATATTTACTTAGCAATTCTTTTTTTTCACTTTGGGAATATATTAGTGTTCTAAATATATAGTATATGCTGTATAGTATTGTGTGTATATATATATATACATATAAAAATATCAAAAGAAAAAAATTGTATAAAATTATTGATTTTTGTACTAGCATTTGCTGGGCAATATGCACTAAAGGTGATTCTACATTGCAGGGAATTGGCTCTAGTCTACTAGTATGGACATCATATATTAACCTAATATCTACTAGGACAAATAAGATTGGGTTATCCACCAAAACACCTCATTTGTTAGTGACATTCAATCAAAGAGTGTTTTTGTTTTGATCCCAGGTTCCTAGGCTCGTTTACCGAGATTCCCAAGATTGTCCTTTGTTGAATGTTTGCATAAACTCCCGCCCGCCAGAATTTATCTGTGTGTTAGGCGGGGACAAGTGCTAGCGACAGAGAGATGATGGACGGAGACAAAGACAAAGTAGACGTGAGCATACATCACAAGCACATCCTGCTATGACATTCTCAAATATATGAGTATATATTTTTGGATGCTGAAGTGTGTTCAGATAGATGAGAAATAAATTCTTAAGAGTGAAGAATACTTGGTTACAAATATACTTATTCTATGAATATATTGTAGTTTAAAGAATGAAATACTAATAAAAAGGAGATACTGGGAGATTCTTCAATTAGAAAGGAGATATTCAGATATTCTGGGAGTTTCTTATTCACCACATGACGACGAACACAAAAAGAAGCTCTGCTGCAAAGCTACAAACTTAGGACAAAGAGAATGGAGTTTCATCGATCGATCGAGGAAACTCCTCTTGATTCTGAGAGAAACAGCTAAAGGGAATGGAAATCGCTGCAGAGCTGGCTCGGATGCTTAGCCGGAAGATCTTACGAAGCCTTGGCTGCGTCCTGCAAGTAGCGGCTGATATCACCGCCAGTGCCCTGCGTCTTCTCGCTCAAATGGTGCGCGGACTCAGCTATCCTCCTCCTCACCGTGTCGATCTTGTCCGAGCCTGGAGGGTGTCCGCCGCGCATGTACTGGTAGAGCCACGACACCGCAGAACAAAACACCGCAAACATCCCGGTGCCGATCACGAAGAGCGTGCCAAGCGGCACCAGCACGGGGCTAAAGAAGAGCAGGAAGGGCGAGGCGATGATAAAGCCCACCACCGTCACGGTGATCACTGTGCCCGCCAGCGCTAACGCCGCCAGAATCCCCAGAGCCTTTGTAGCGCGAGGAGCCGAGGATTTGCCCCTCTGGATCACCTCCTTGGACTTGTCGCGCGTCGCCTCCACGGCGCGGCCGCTCTTGTCGCGCGCCTGCTCGGCCGCTCGCCCAGCTTGATCAGCCATGGCAGTACTGTGATAAAAGTGAGTGATTGATCGATGGAATGAGCGCGCACAAGCGATAGAGAGAGAGAGCCCAAGAACAAGCGTGAGGAACGGGGCGATTCGTGGAGCTTTTAAACTTGGGGAGTGCATGGAGAGCGGTCTTGCCGCGGTGACACTTGGCAGGTGCCCCACACATAGGGCATCTGCCAGGTCAGCGCCACATGTCTCTCTGGCATCTCGCCACGCCAACTCACCTGACACGTCACTTGCCACACATGCTAGGGCTGAGTCAGCAACTATGATATAAAAGTGCAATAAAGCAAGCCATAGAAAAGGAATAGATTATAACTCGCCGAGCAAAAACTAGGGTTCTTCGCGCAGGGGCTCTGATCGATGGCGGCCATGGATCCCGATCAGGTGTCGCGGGCATTCGTGGATCACTACTACAACACATTCGACGCCAACCGCGCCGGGCTCGTCTCGCTCTACCAGGACGCGTCCATGCTCACCTTCGAGGGCCAGCAATTCCAGGGCGCGCCCAACATCGCCAACAAGCTCAATAGCTTGCCCTTCCAGCAGTGCAAGCACAACATCTCCACGGTCGACTGCCAGCCCTCGGGCGCGCACGGAGGTATGCTCGTCTTTGTCAGCGGGATCCTCCAGCTCCCCGGCGAGGAGCACCCCCTCAAATTCAGCCAGGTATGATCCTCCTCCATTCTTTGCTTGGAGCTCAAGAGTTCTTAGATCCCTGCGTGATCCTCCTCGAGCTCGAGGAAGAAAGAGATTCCTTCTTTATGCTAGCAAGTTTCACTTCGTTTCCTTTTAGATCTGTTTGATCCCGCCATAGATCTTTCGTTTTCTCTTGGTGCTCTTTTGGTCCCCCCCATCGATCTTTTGCTTGTTGGATTGGATCGAATCAATTTTCTTCGTTTCTACTTGGATTGGATCATTGAAATCGATTTTCTTTGTGGATTTTTTTCTAGATGTTCCATCTCGTTCCCACGGCCGAGGGTTCCCTCTTCGTCCTCAACGACATCTTTCGACTGAACTATGCTTAGCTCGAACTTGGCTGGGGAGGGAAATGAAAAAGAAAAACAACTGATTGCTGCCTTTTTTTTGTGCTATTGTATTTATCCACATTAAGTATGTATTTACTCAAAAGCCTCCACATTGAGTAAGTCCACGTGGAACCATCCGAGCAATTTAGATATTTGACACGTGTCCAAGACAAAGCCCTAAAGTTCCTGTGGACGAAGAAGCACTCGCAAGATCTCCTCGACGTAGCTAGAATGCGGGTGGAGATTTGCGCGGGAGCGATGCATTGGGGCACCGTAGGCGCGAGCGCGCGATAGGGATCTCTGTTTCTAGGGCAGGAGGACCGGAGCGATGGATCATCTCAAGCGCAAGGTCTGTTGGAACACCAAATGCCCCGCGACCAACAGCAGCGTGTGGAAATCCGGATGGGGCTTGCAGTCGGGGAGAATAGCGGATTTGTGCGACTACTGCGGGTGAGTGAATTCACTCTTTTCAAAATGTTTTTGTGAAGATGGACAATTTACGGGTGAAATGCTGCTGGTGTTTCTCACAGGTTGGTGTACGAGCAATCGAGATTCTGCGAGACTTTTCATTCCAGTGATGCGGGATGGAGAACATGTAACAATTGTAAGAAGGTGAGTGTTTGTTTTCTTTCGTCTTTGGATCTAAGTTTTTGTTATTGAAATGCAGCCTGTCCACTGTGGATGCATTGCATCAGTGTCTTCTTTTGTTCATCTCGATTTTGGTGGGGTTGAATGCGTGAGCTGCGCGAAAGGATTGACTCCATGCAAGGTATCGTACGACTCAAAAGCTTCATTTCTATTATTTCAGCCGTGGGGCTTTAGACAGTTGAAGGTCCGGCAAATGTGTCCTCCGAATCCACATCCCTCACAAGAGTCAAGGCCTCGGATCAATCTTCCGAGGATGAACAAGCAGCATCTCTCGCTGGCTCGGTTAAAAGGCAAAAGCTAGAAAGCCCTGAAGAAAAGGAACCGCAGGACGTTCCAGCAATCGACGAGCTCGGAGGATGCCACAAACAGTTGGGCCCGGACGTTGTGACGGACAAGGAAAGGCAGCAGCAAACGCCGGACGGAAGGTATGCTTGCTAGTTCTTTCTTTTTTCTTAGTTTTCTCTCTTCAGAGATTCAGTAGTGTTTCCTGACTTGTGGAAGCTCCACCACCGTCGTACCGTTATTCGAGAAGACGCTCACGGCAAGTGATGCTGGACGAATCGGCCGCTTGGTGCTCCCAAAAGCTTGTGCTGAGGTACTGAAGTTCATACAAACTTACGCAGGGATTTGTGAGGTCTTACGTTTCGTGGTGTTTCCTTTGTCAGGCTTTTTTTCCTCCTATATCTTCGCCCGAGGGAATACCGATCAAAATGAGCGACTCGAAAGGCCAAGAGTGGCAATTCCAGTTTCGGTTCTGGCCAAACAACAGCAGCAGGATGTACGTTTTGGAAGGCATCACTCCTTGCGTCAAAGCATTGCAACTGCAAGCCGGTGATGTAGGTGAGTGACTTATAGCACTCCAAGGCATTGATCTAACGTTGGAAGTTGCAGTTACTTTCAGCCGGATCGATCCTGGAGGCAAGATGGTCATGGGATATCGAAGAAATGCTGTGGTTCTCAAGCCCAAGGTTCTCGGCTGATCCTTCCATGAAGAACGATGCTTACGTTCTAATATTTCTAATTGGTTTTCCTCTAGGCGAAAGCTGTTAAAGATTCCACCACTGCGTTTGCTCCAGGCTTTGTTAATAAGAGCTTGGCATCGAGGGAAGGCCCAGTGAGTTTTAGCTCTCCGAGAACTCCGGAGTGTTCCACGGCGAGAAGCGCTTGGGAGGAAGCTCAAGATTGGCTTTCACCGCCGCCGGGGATCACTCCCAGCATCATGACGATCGATGGACACAGATTTGAGGAATACGAGGTAAGAGTGACGATCAAATCACAGTTTCTAGATGTTTTTTGATGGCCAGATTTTTTTTTCTCGTTCTTGGTGATATCTAGGAACCTCCTGTGATTGTGAGAAAGGGCTTTGATAGCTCCCCAGCTATTGTGTGAGGAACGAGAGAGAACAATGCAACGTAAAAAACAAAGTTACCCTTGTGGTACGGGAAACGGGGATCCCTTGTGTACGGTCGGGGCTTTCCCCGCGCAAAAGGGTTTTCTCATTTAGCTATGGCGAAGTGAAGAGGATGCTTTAGAGCGCGGGATCGCCTAGGGTTTGTGGAATGGCGTCGAGCAGTAGGCGCAGGCTCAGCAGGGAGGAATTGGAGAAGACGCGGCTGTGGCAGGAGTAAGTGTGATCTCGTCTCTTGGCAGGGCTAGACTGATGCATGCTTGAGGTAGAGTGAACGCGAGCAGCAGCGATGAGGAGGGCTCGGCGCAAGAACCCGCGCACTCCAAGAAGCGGGGAGCTGCGGTGCGGGGAGATGGGCTTCCTCCGGTAGGAATTTCAACATTTTTGGATGTCTGAAATCTTTCACAGAAACGTCGTAAGCGGCAAGTGTCTTTGGAGTCCGAGAGTGGGAAAGACAGCAGTTTGGAGCAAGATGATCGAGGAAAAAAGAGGAAGAACAGGCAGTCTGAGGATTCCAGTGATGATCGACAAAGCTTAATAGGTGAGGGTATTTTCTTTTCTTCTGGCCGCGTTGAAGCATTGGCAACTTTTCTCAGACGTGATCAAGCATAATGGGAAGCTTGTTCCTCGAGCTGTGAAGAACTGGATTGATCGCTACGAATCAAGCCAGCGGCCGGCGACATGCGAACTTATTATGTGTATATTTGAGGTTAGCTTTTGTGGGATTTTCATTTGTTCTTGCCGCGGTTTTTCCTTACGCTCGTCTATCAAGGCTTGCGGTGCGAAGTACAATATTGACGAAGATTTACTCGACGAAATTAATGTTGATGAGGTTGTTCTCGAGCTTGTTAGTCAGGCTAAAGCGGTACGTGACTGTTTTGTCCAGTTTTTGTTTTCAGTACTCATTGCCTGCGAAATAGGGGGATGTGGAAGATTTTGTTACGTCGAAGCAAAAGGATCTGCGTGGTTTTAAAGACAATCTGACATTATTCTGGGATACCTTCGTTCTAGAATGCCAAAACGGACCACTTTTTGACGAACAACTTATGGAGATGTGCATAAACTTTGTGACGGCGCTCTCATGGCAAGTTAAAAAAAAGTTCTGCTTACTTTCGTTCTCACGTTGGCCTCTTCAGCACCCCGCCTAGGCACTTCCGGCATGTCTCGACGCTCATCGGACTTCAGCTCGCGACATCATTTGTCACCGTTGCAAAGACGCTTTCTCAATCTCGGGAAACGAAACAGCGCCAGCTTATTGCCGAGGAAAAGAAGAAACGGAAGGATGCTGCACGCATCGAGTCGCTCAACAAAGTCCTGTCTCAAACGCACGATAAAATAACAAAAATCGAGGGTATGATCCAGGCCATAATCCGCGGGTACGATCATTTTTCTCTAAGGTTCAATTTTCTGATTATGAATTCCTTCCCAGGCTCTTTATGCATCGGTATCGTGACGTCGACGTAGATATCAGAGTTGCATGCGTCAAAGCCATTGGTGGATGGGTTATATCATACCCGTCCTACTTCCTCAATGACCTCTATCTAAAGTATATCGGATGGACGCTCAGCGATAAGGTATGAAAAGCTTTCCCGCTTGCATGCCTTCTAACTGTACATTGTGAAGAACGTAGCCGTCCGCAAGAGCTCTATTGAGGCTCTCCGAGCTATCTACGAAATTGATGATAATGTACCTTCTATGGCGCTATTTACACAACGTTTTTCTAATCGAATGATCGAACTAGCGGATGATGTTGATATAAGTGTTGCAGTGAGCGCCATCGGCTTGTTTAAACAGCTGCTAAGGTGCGTTTTGGTTTTGCTGCGATTAATCACTAAGTTGTGCAATGAATCAGGCATCAACTTATCAAAGACGTGAGCCCTCTGTACGATCTTTTGATCGATGAATCGCCTTCGATTCGTCACGCTGTAGGACAGCTAGTTTATGAGCAGATGATTGCCGTGCCAAACGCAGAAGGTGTGTATTATGCTGTTTAGAGCCACTTAAAACTTTTTTTCTCTACAGAAGGCGAGGACAGCGATAAATCTGATGTCCAGTTAAAGAGATTGCTAACGATCCTGAAAGACTTCGCAAGTGATCCCATTCTAAGCGATTATGTTATCGATGCTGTCTGGGAAGAAATGAAGGCTATGCAGGTTTGTCATTTTCCTTTTCTTCACCACTCCTAAGTTGTGTGTTGTAGGACTGGAAGTGCCTAATTTCGATGCTACTGGATGACAGTGAGAATCAGGAGCTGACAGATGTCGATATTGCAAGTTTATGCAGGGTTCTTGGTGGTTCTGCAAAGAGATCAGTTGGTGAGAAACTGGTGCCTACCATTGACAGTCGCAAGGCAACACTAACAAAGGCGCAGAAGGTATTTTGTCTATGGTTTGGCAGAATTGTTGATTTGCTATCCTGCAGGAAGCTTTTGAGTCCAGTAAGAAGAAATTGACAACGGCAATGATCAAGCCTCATCCGAAGTTGTTAAGGAAATATCTTGCGGACAAATCTAAAGTGTGTTATATCGTTGAGATCATGCAACATATGAATCTTGATCTCTATTCATTAAAGCAGCAAGAACAGGTACATACACAACTGCATGATAGTCTAAATTATTCTGTGTGTTGCGATTAGAGCTGCATTTCATCTCTTGAGCTCACAAGGGACGCGTTCTTTAAACATGGGGACCGCAAGACGTTGCAAACATGTGTCAACACTTTAGTCTTTTGCGCTAGTGAGACGAAGGCAGATCTTCAAGATGCTGCTCAACGCGTTTTGAAAGAAACGACTGATGAAGTTATTCGCAAACTGAGATCGGCCATTGAGCACGCGGGGGTAACGTTTTCGATACCGTTGTTTCTGCCTTGTACTGACTCGAGTTCATCAGGAAACTGAAGACGACTATTCTCTTACGGTGAACTTGCGACGGTTACAGCATTTGCAGTTGGCAATGCCTATAAATAATGAAGAGCTCTACAAAGATCTACTCACACTTCTGGAAGACTTTAGTGATTTGGAAGACGAGGTATAGTTCCTTTTATTGTTTTCTATCTTACAACCCTACTTGCTTCAGGCTGTGCAACTAGATTTGACAAACATATTTCTGTATGTGATATGGTACCTCAAAAGTATTGACCACGATAATCCAGATGAGAATCAATTAACTAGTCTTATAACCAAGAGATCTACACTTTATAAGCACCTTGAAACTCAGATGGACAATGTTATTTCGAGTTTCAGTGACGGGCAGACCAAGTCCTTGCTAAGTTCTACGGTAGGTCTTGAAGCTGACTAATCACTCAGAAGCTAACTCTCACGTGATCCCAGATTTGCACCATTTTCTCGGACCTTTGCAGCCTTTTCAGCAAAGAAAAGCTGTCCTCTACGAAAATTGAACGATTGGGGTTTTCTCCCTCTTCAGAGAGGTTGGAGAAGTTTTGGGAGCTGTGCGAACTCAGGCTATCTGTACCTGGTAAAAATCTTTAGTGTAGATCAACTGAATCTTTACTTTCAGATTCAGATGACGACGACATGGAGCTAGAGCGAGAGGAAGAAGCGGATTACTTTAGCCAGAAAGATATCGTTATCACGTCGGCTGCAAAGCTAGTTGCGCATGAAATGATTCCTAAGGTACGTCTCCTTTTGAAAGTTTCAGAGGGACTACAAAGCTTGAAGTTTCAGGACTTTATTGGGTCGGAGATCATATCGCACTACGTGCTCCATGGCAAGGGAGTCGAGGAGACCATAAAGCAGCTAATTCTCGTCTTCAAAAAGAACATGAAGTCCCAAGAGCTATGTAGCCTCTATCTGGACGCTATGAAGAAGGTGAGCCAGCTTGTGCAAAGCATGTCGTGACTCTGGAAAAAATTTCAGGCATACAGCAGACATTTAGAGGACGATGAAGAAGCAAAGCCTAAATCATTTGAGCTTTGTAAGGAGCTAGCGAACCGTCTTTCAGCGACATTTTCCGGTTTCGCCCGTAACATCCACAGGCCAAGCATCTTAAAGCTCGTAAGAAATGGCGTGGAGCATGCGTTTGAAGATACTCCCACGCAGTTGTCATTTCTCGAGGCGTGCGTTTTACCATTCTTACAAAGATTAGCTGCAGCCGACATACGAGATATGTAAGTTCTCTTACATTTCCTTGCGTCGTAAGCCACTCACTTGCGCTTGCAGCATCGAGAACGTGCAAAGCAGGGTAAACGACGACGATGTAGATCAAGATCCGACTGGGTGGCGTCCATATCAGACATTCCTGGAGCATCTCCAGGAGAGGGTGTCGAAAACAGAAGCTCCAGGTCAGTAGTGACTGTTTTCTTTCTATTTCATCTGCTTTTGTCTTTTCTTTGTTTTGCAGGAAAGCATGACCAGCCTCCTCGGCCACCTAGAAACGCCAAGACTAACAACAAGAAGAAGCTGTTTGGAGATGAGTCTGAGAGCGACGAGGAGCAACCATCGGAGTCGGAGGACCAGATAGAAGATGACGATGACACTCCTCTCTACCAAGTGCGACAGAAGCTCAAGCAAAAAGGACCAACTACTGTGCTGTCCCCGCCTTCTTCTTCGCAGCACTCAATGAGAACCCGGAAGAAAGCTACGGTGCTCACGGGCACGGAAGAAGACCTTCCGGAGTAAGTAATTCTCATTTTCATTTATACTGTTCTTCTCACGATGTGGTTTGGGTGTAGGTGAAATCTTGATTGTCTCGGCTCAAGACAAGACTGATGTTGTAAAGTAGGTGCTGTTAGGTCTCGCAGATGCAAGCTCTCCAAATCGTAACGAGGAAGATCTCGTTTTGTCAGTCGCGAAAACTATCACGGTAAAAATGGCTACATGATTATTGGTCAAGCTCCAGAGACTTAATACTTAGTTTCCAGGGATTTGGAAACTTCGAACTTAAGGCTTGCTGGAGAGTGTTTCTTCGCAGTAGATCAATGGCTTGTTTGCTCGCGACGCAGCGACAAGATTTGTACTGGCTTCCACTCCCGCCTCTCGCGACGTGCTGCTCAAACAGCTCTCTAAAGCTCCCGCCCCTCACCACGCACAGCTTTAGAGGACCGATGGCTCCACTACTCCTCCCACGCAAGTAAGGATCGTTGAGAGACACGTCCAGGAGCTCACAGCAGTCTTGCAGGGTGCTCGGATCCATGGAGCCGCCGTGGTTGAGCTCCCAGAAGATGGCGTAATGTCCCGGGATGGACGAGAAGTCGGCGTAGCCTGCAAAGTCGTGGAGCTGGCTTGAGCTCCGCAGCAGCAATGAGGCCTTGTGGACTACGGCCTGGAGCTCGAACTCGTCCGTTTTGTCAGTGGCTACGCTCATCACCACGTTTCTCCGGAAAAGAAATCTCAGGCTCGGGCTCGAGTTGAAGAAGCCGGCCACTTGGACGACATCTCCGAGCCTGTATCGATAGAGACCTGTGAACTCCAAAGTCTGACAGGGAGAAAAACGAAGAACTTGGAAGCAAAACGTACCAGATCGAGTTGTCACCACGATCTCATACTTCTCTCCGATCGTCACCTCCGTCAGACCAACGGGACGTTGCTCCTCCAGGCCATTCAACTTGGTTTCACCGTCGTGGTAGCTAAGAAACTCGAAGTACGCAAACTCCGGGTTCACGGTGAAAGTGGCTGGCGACGAGGCCGGGCTGAGGTTGATCCCGATCAAGCACTCGGAGCTGAAGTAGTTTCCGCAAACCAGCGGAGTTTTTCCAGCGAGAGCTCGCAGCCTCGGGGCGTATGGTGCCATGGCTCCGGTTGTGACAGCTACCACAGACTTCGCGTTGGGCCACAGGCGCTGGACGATCCCGTCCATGCTAAACGATCGAAACTCCCTTCTCAGCTGCTCTGCGAGCTCGGGACTGGGAGGAGCAATGCCGGACATAGCGAGCCGCAAAATCGGGTCTGTGATCCTCGAGCTCAAGCTTCCAGCCTCGATGTCCTCGAGCAGCTCCGACCAGACTTGCTCCAGCACCCGGAAAGCCTCGGTCAGTGCGAAGGCGAAGGCCGAGATCACGACGGTGACTTCCTCGCGGCGGAGGAGGCCGCAGAGAAGGTGGCAGTAGAGGCACTGGTACATGCTGGTGGACTGGAAGATCTTGTGCGGGGTGACGAAGGATGCGGCTGCTCGCTTGAAGTGAGCGCTGTTGAGACCGCTGGTTGTGACAGTCTCGGCCTTGAAGCCACCTTTCGTGAGGGACTGCTTGCTCGCGAACCAGAATGCCAAGTAAGTTTCGTCCGGGTTGATCGTGAACACCCTGTGCCAAGCCGGAGATATCAGTGGTGGACGGAAGAATCGAGAGTTCTACTGGCCTGTTGTGCGCTTGATCCACGGCTTCTTTCGTCACCGGGATGAGTTTGGATCGTCCGGTCGTCGTCCCTGAGCTGAGAAAGAATTTGACAAGGAAGAACGAGACTTTGCGGAAACCACACACCTGATGAAGAACTGTGAGATTGGATCGGAGCAAAGTATTCTTCCAGTGTCGCCGTCCGCAATACGCTTGATGTCCGCTTCGATGTCATTGTACTCTACGAGGGGTAGCTTGTGGAAGCCATCGACGAGGTTGGATTCCTCGTCCAGGCCATGCCGCGTAAGGTACTCGGTCCCGGCGTTCTTCTCCAGGATTTGCTGCAGGAGCTCGCGTTGGATGACCGCGGCGTTCTTGGTTGCGTGTTCCATGCTCTTGAGACAGATCGAATGCATCGCTGCTTACACCAAAAAAACCAATCACCAAATTCAATGAGACTGGAATCTACGTACAGCCAAGAGCAACGCACGAGAAGGCAGGCAAGGAAGAAAAAAGAGAGACGAGAGAGCCGACTTTGAGGAAGGAAAGATATGAGGAAGCTCACCACTTTGAAGCGACCAAAATCATGCAAACAGTGGTCGCGGAATCCTCGATGCTCGTCTGGGAAGCATTGTCGTAAAATCCACAGGAGACCCCACACTGCACAGTCGCGTAGAAAAAACGTTGGAGAGCCTCTCTCATATATTAAAATGCTGAAAAGATGATGGATCCAAAACGGAACCAAATCACGGCACCTGGGAGAGGAGATCAATGGATTGATCGATTTGATAATGGAGACGCCGAAAGAGAGAGGAATCGAGTGGCAATATGAAAGCGATCTAGCAAAATTAGGTTCAATCAGAAAGTATAGGAAGAGTGCATAGTGGGCGACAAGTGCCCGCTCCATCACATGGCCCGGATGCTCCCAGTCGCCTTCAACTAAGTTCCTCCTAAATACATTAGTAATCTCCCTTAAGTTATCTAGCTCTTTAGTGTCAGGCAATGGTTGTTGTGGGTGGGCTTTTGAGACACCAGAAAAAATTTATTCTTTTATTAATGAATATCTCAGAACAAATATGGCAATATGTGATTGCACATGGAAGGAATCTATGCAGCAAGGTATATCATTTATTGGATATAGTGGTTTAGTCATGCCAAACCTAGATTTTCGAAAGGCAGATTTTCGAAGACCCCAAGAGGAGGAACAGGCTTGGCATAGATGTGTGGGCACAAGTCAAATCTTGAAAAAACATATATGAATATATATATATTTTTAAAATCCAAAATTTATAAACATATTCCAAAATTATTTTTTAGGCCTATACCATTTTTCATGCCACATATGGAAAAAGCAAGGCTTAAAGTTATCAAATAAATTAACTTTCTTTAGTGAATAGCAAAAAGATATCAATGTTTATATATTCGGCATCCTTAGAAATGGAAATTGTGCATCATAGGTGATACAAGTGTATAGTGCATTTATATTTGGTCTCCAAGCTTATTATGCTAAATGAGGGTTTAATATACACTAAAATCCCTTATGAGCATTTACTCCTTATATATGTCATTGTAGGATGAAATTTGGATATACTATTACTATGAAACATTAGGGGATAAATGGGGATAAAATAGTTACTAATTATTAAGCAATTGCCCTTTTTCTAATTAGAGGAGAGAAATAAAGTGTGCTATATGTAGTATTAGAGCAAATGGCATGGGTTTGATTCCTATTTATTAATGGTTAATATAATATATCTTCGAGTAAAATATATTCTTACTCATAAATTTGAAATCATACATATTATGTCCTCTTTTGTGGATGCTCTACAGATGAGGTATCTACCATGGGATTGTGGTACGGATGGATAATTAGTTACCTCACAATATGGAATAACTAATTTACATAATCTATGACTAGTTATCTCACAACATGGAACATTTAATATACACAATGGAATAATTGTTAATCAATGGAATATATGGAAGTGTTAGTTCTCTTGTGGATGCTCTATAGAAAAAAGTATCTATTGTGGGACTGTGGTATGGGTGGGTGATTAGTTACCTTACAATATAGAATAGTTGGTCTACACAATCTACCATAGGACTGTGGTATGGGTGAATGACTAATTACCTCACAATATGAAATAATTAATTTATACAATAGAAGGATTGTTAGTCAATAGTCAATGAGGATATGAAAGTGTTGGTTCCCTTTGGCTTAGTAAAGGTTATTAGTCAAGTTAATGAGGACATTGACATCTTTGAAGTGACTGTAGTGCATATCATCATGGGATAAGATTTAAATATATTACACAATGGAAGGAGTGTTAGTCAATAGTCAATAAGGATATAGAGGTGTTGATTCCTTTTGGCTCAATAGGGGTTATGAAGACATTGACATCTTTGAAGTGAGTGTAGTGCATATCATCATAGGATAAGATTTAAATATATTATATAATGGAAGGATTGTTAGTCAATAGTCAATAAGGATATAGAGGTGTTAGTTCCCTTTAGCTCAATAGGGTTATGAAGATATTGACATTTTTGAAGTGAGTGTAGTGCATGTTATCATAGAATGAAATTTAAATATACTACACAATAGAAGAATTGTTAGTTAATAGTCAATGAGGATATAGAAGTGTTATTTCCCTTTGGCTTAGTAGAGGTTATTAATCAACTCAATAAGGACATTGACATCTTTGAAGTGAATGTAGTGTATGTCATCATGGGATGAGATTTAGATATACTACATAATGAAAGGATTGTTAGTCAATAGTCAATGAGGATATGGAAGTGTTAGTTCCTTTTGGTTTAATAGAGGTTATTAGTCAAGTCAATAAAGACATTAACATCTTTGAAGTGAGTGTCATGTATATCATCATGGGATAAGATTTAGATATACTATTACCGTGGAACTTTGGGGGGTGAGTGTAGTGCATGTCATTATAGGATGAGATTTAGATATACTATCACCGTGGAATCTTGGGGATAAATAGGGATACAATAGCCATTAAAAGCTTTCTCATCAAGCAATTACCCCTTTTTTAGTTAGCTTAAGGGGAGAAAGATAGAGTGTATGTCACGAATGTGACTTTGGTATCGAAAATTACTTTTTAGTTAGTTTTTTCGGACATTTTTTCCTTACTACCATAACGGCAGGAGGTTGGTATTGTTGGATTCTTTATTAATCTCCACCTAAACTAATTGAGAAACTGGTCTTCGCGTGTGCACTTGATCAAATGAGTATAAAGATGGAATTTCTAAATGCTATTAGTTAAGCATACTTGACCTGATTAGAGAAACTCATTTGTTAGCTTGCACTTGCTAGTGTTGGGAACCCCTGCAATAATGACGACAAGTCCGATCGTTTCACAGGAGCCACCGAGGACAAGACACTCTTCACGAAAGACAACTTCAAGGACTTCCTAGCTTGACGTGGATGGACAGGTGTGAGGCAAGTAGGTGGCTTCCAAGACATGAGCTTGATCTCTCAATATTCACTAAATGATAGCTTACCATGTTTGCCAAACACCCTCACTATCATGCACCTTGTGTTAGTACCATTCAGTCTAAAATGCTATTTATGGAAAGTATTTAAATTTGCTCATTTGGCATATCAATAAAATGTTGAGATTATCCTAAACACAATGGTGTTCATTCTGTGTTCAAATTCGCAATCTAAGAATATTTCATATTTAATAAGTTTCAAACTTATCCCAGAGACTAACTCTTGGTACTAAAGGTGGCTTGGGGTGAAAGCCCAAAGCGTGTGTTCCTCAAGGGGAAGGGGGGGTGGCTATAGGGGGTTCCAAATATATAGTAAGGATAGTGGGTAGAATTGGCATGGTTGACCAATTTAAAGTATAGTTTAGCTCTTATTTGCATGCCTATCCTTGTTTTATGTCTTATTTGAGTCTAAGCTCAAGTTTCATTCCATGTTAGTTGGTGGAGTACCTATATCCTTGTGTTAGGCCACCGATATACTAAAATAATGCCATACTTCATTTGGCTCCATTTTGCGTGTTTGTCTTGGCATTGGGATGCTACATACTTTAGGATTGTTCCAAATTGCTCCTTGGGCTGTATGCTCAAAAGTTGTTCCATGCTTTAGTGCTATTATTCTTTGGCTCCATGCTTAGGAGTTTGGCATTGTCTTTTCATTGAATGGCCTAAAGTCTTAAAACTCAGGTTCTACACTATTGTCCTTTGGACACGTAGTATATGACATATGGCATATAAAGGGTTTATGTTCCACTTCGTGATTATTTTATAATAAATCACCATAGGATAAAGGGTAAAAACCATATGTGCTACAATACACTATAATTTAACTCTTGCAAACATAATAATATTAACAAATTATAGCACAATTTTGACATACTAGTGGCCTAATGCAAGAAAGTGGGTACCCCACCATTGAGAATTTGGCTTAAACCTAAGCTCAAAGAGTGATATAGTCTAATGGAAGCCAAATTAATATTTCAAGTGGTTAATAATGCTTTTGGCCACTATTCCCACCATATATTTAGAACCTTTCCCCCCCCCCCCCCCCCCCCCAAAGTCAGAAAAAATTGGAAAAGATTAAGAAAAAAATTAGTGATAAAATATAAATTTATCTTAGTATAATTAGGCTTATTTAAATTACTAAATTAAATTATTGTTATATACTGTATAGAGTTTCCTTATTTACTAAAATTTTAAACATGGATTATATTAAGCATATTTTACTTAAATTAAATAAATAAAAATTTTAAAAAATATTTCAATTTAAAAAAATATGAACAGAAAGTGATATTTAATTATTTTTATAATTTACTATAGAAGTAAAAGAATAAATTTATTATATTGAGTAAAAAATAATAATAATATGTGTATTTTACAAAATTTAAATATCTTCATGTACTTGTTTTATAGTAATAAATATAACTCAAACATTACAATAAAGATGTAAAAAATTGAAATATTTAGTTGATTATATATTGAAAACAGACAAAATAATATAATTATTACATTATAATTAGTAATAGTTAAGTTTAATAATTATTAAATTCTTTTAAAAAAATCTATTATAATTATAAGAACTTTGTAACATAATTTGATTATACATAAATTAAATATTAAGATAATTTTTAATATTTTAAAGAATTAATTATTATTAGAATTAAGATTTTTTGATAAGATAGAGTCCTTCCACTATAATACATTACAGAACAAAAGATTCAAAATGTTTAAATAAATATCTAAATTTATAATATGTGAGAGAACCAAGACCTGTACTTATACAAATATTTTCTAGATCAACTAGTCTAATTAGGCTTCTGATATTCTAGATTATCTTGTGCTAATCTTGTTTATATCAATATGGTATATATGAATAGATCTCATACTACTCCTTCCTCAAGTATTGCTGATGAAATGTTATATTCAAAACACAAGGCAATTTAGTATTAAAAGGGTCTAAAGTCCAACTTTATAGTTGGTTAAAGCAATCGAAATTAATATTTGGTGATTTAATTTTGCTCCTACTTAGCTAAACCTGAGTGGTAGAGTGTAAGAGAATGAAGATCTCAAAAGAGTTATAGGTTTTAGCTTTTGTTCATAAGGGTATGAGAAATGTAATGAATTATAAATAACCTAAGAGAATAACTTGAAAGATAATTAAATATAGAATGTAAAGGTGAATAAACTCCTCAAATTTGTCCTTGAGAAAAATTGTATCCTCAATGTTAGAATCTTATTCTTTACACCCTAAAGGCCTTTCTTTATCCTATTATCTTGACCTGGTACCTAATAATCCTCCCCTTGTTAGGGAATGATCATCTGCAATCATATTTAGGCCATTCTTTAGTCACCATAGTCTTTCTTTTAGGGTCTACCAAACCTTGGTTTCCTCTAGATCTACCATATTAAATATTCCTTTAAAATATTTCTGCCCACTTCTTAGCCACGAGAATCGAACTAGGCTCTGATACCAATGATTTCTGTCTCTAAAGGGACAGATCATATCCCCTCTATTTCTCTATTTCTCTCTCTAGATACCCTATACTATAGTGTTAGTTCTCCTTCTAGATCCATCATAATGAATATTCTTTCAAAACATTATTTCACTTGTCAATCATAAAAATCTCTAATACCAATGTTAAGATCCTATTACTTACACTCTATGCCAACTGGCTAAAGAGCTAAAGGGGTGATCACATGCACGCACATGTCCCCTTAACCCTATAAGATTAACATCCTTAATAGGTTGGGTTGGGTTTACCACTTGGATGGACAATATGATTCTAAACATGTGGCACATATGTCTTAAATGTGTTGAGATTCACATAAAGCATAGAGAAAAAATAGCCTAAAACTCATTTTTTAAACCAATTTCACCATCTAAGACCCATATATTAGAATAGCCATTAAAGCTTCTATATGTTTGGCAGCCAATTTTTTTTCATATTGGCTAGCCAAAGCAAGCAGTCCTCTATGCAATTATCATTAGAAAAAGTTGGAATCTTAAGTCAATTTACCAAAGTAGTCTAATTTACTGCATTACCATCTCAATATGCTTATGCATTATATTTATTTCCATTCAAGAGCTTAAAATCAAATTCTTTATTTATATTGACCATATAGTCAAAATTGGTGCCTAATAATTCTTCCCCTCACAAGGGAATGATTGTCCACGATTATATATAGACCACCTTTAGTCACTATAGTCCTTTTTTGGGTTGTTTTTATTTATTTCTGCATTGAATCTACTAAACTTTTAATCATCCTAGCATGAATAATAGAAAATGGATGAACTCTAGCAATGAACCCTCAATGTTAACATTGTTTTTATTCCTGTTAAAGGGAACCAAAACATCCAGTTTTACACTGAATTACAAAAAATATTTCCATTATATAAACTAGTTATTCTATATAAGATTACTAGTCATACATTTGTATTATAATCCAATAGTGGATACCTTCATTAATGGATGTTTAATACATACAATTTCAAATTTAAAGGTAAAATTGTCCCACTTTAGATACCCAAAGGTACCACTAATGTACCATCCTATTATAGTAAGACCATGTTTCTCTAAAACCAAACTATTTATTACATTAGTATTCACTCTAGCTTTAAGCTCTCTAATATTTATACCATCACCTACCATGTAGATATAGCCTTGTTTAGTCATACTAGTTTCTCTAAAGTCCTCCCCTTACTATCCAAAGGCATTTACCAAACCCCTATGGGTCTGGGAAATAATTGGATATATCTTGCCTTAAATATGTCAAATCTTAGATATGTTTGATACTTTATGCACTTGGTTTTTATGTATGGAGAGATGGTTTTGACATTGTTACACTTCAAGTCTATAGGTTATTGTAAGCCACAAATTTTTCCTTTCCAATTTGCCAGCTTACCTCGTCTATCCGTCCAACACTGCCTTGGCTTTTGCTAAGTCCCCTTGCCAAGGTTCTCGCCTATGGTACCAGCTCCTACTTGGTTTCAGCTACTCACTGCACGAGCAACGGGGTGTTAGCCATCCTTCCACGGATTCCCAAATCACTCCCAATCCCCCTCCCCGGGTTAGACTGGACTTAAGGTTCGGCTACACTCCCCGCAAGCACAAGCAGCCAAGCACACCAAGCTTCCAGGTTCCTAACATCCCATGATCAAGTCTTGTGGTACCAATATTTTGATTTTGACACTTCCACGTGTTATGACATTTACCACATATTAATCATTCTTTTGTTTCTTTTTAAAGATTCACTTATTGATTGTTTTATGTTTATTCCTTAAGTGCTTCTTCAGGAGTTCCACTCCTGCTCTCGAGTTTTCAAGTTAGCATTTTTTATTCAAACGTGTTACACTCTTTGAACTTCCTTCTCAGCCACTGCTATAAGGCATACCTTTGACTAAACTTTGGAACTTAGGAATTTATGTCTTATATCCCACTTTTGACATTTTGAGTTGAAGATTTTGGTTACACTTGTTGCACTTTTGTCTTGGCCACTAACATATGGCATACTTTCAGCTCCACTTTAAGACTTAGGGATTTATGTTTTACAACTCTTCAAATATTAATTCTATGACTTAACATTGACAACTTTTGGTAATCACAAAGGTAAACCCAACTCTGTTGGTAATATTAAATTCATGACTATATAAAAGTTTATATGGCAAAACACTAATAGAACTTGTATTTTCATAACCTATAAATATTAAACCAATCCAAATGTTGAAAGCTCACATACTCCATAATCATCCTTTTGAAATTTTGAATGAGTTATTCCACCAAACCATTTGTTTATAGATGATAAAAAATTATGGATGTATGACGTATCCCCAACCGAGACATGAAGACATAAAATGCCCCAACCATAATTTAGGAACAATTATCTAATAGAATATTCTTTAAACAAGAATGCTGAAACACAACTTAATTAAGGAGGAAGTATCTAATAGCAATTATAAACACACTAGCAAGAGTATTGACTTCCATCTAACAAGTAAAGTAATCGAAAGTAATAATGATATACTCATTACTGGTAGTTAACTATAGAAAAGACACTATTAAAATCAAATACTACTAGCTCAAATAAAGAGGAAATTGTAATTAACTCCAACTATCCTTCCACAATATGAGGGAGAGTATTACAAATTTAATATCAAATATATCTTACGAATCTCACAAATATGCTTCTCCTATGTCTTATTTGAGAGGATTAAGACATCATTGATGAAGTTGGCAATCATTTTTTTATATATATTATAAAAAACCTTATTTATCCACTATTGAAAAGTCATTAAAATATTGTTCAAATTAAATGACATCACCAAGAACTCGTAGAAATTAAATGGTATACAAAAAACAATCTTGAAACATCTTTCTTATCTATCAAGGCATGCAAGTACCTAAAAGTAAGATTTAATTTGGTGAATTAATGATTTATCCTTAAATAGAATGAAAAATTTAGTCACTTATAGCTGCATAATATAATTGTAAACAACACACCTTTGACCACTTGGAAAAGTCTTCCTCACTACCTCTATAAGTTTTATTCCTAATTTAAGGACATGCTAGCCCCAATATGTGAAAACATAATGAGCATTAGAAGATAAACTCACACCCATGTTGACCAATATAAAAAGGATAATACAAGACCTTTTGTTATGAAAAAAATTTAGAAAGTGAATATTAAATAAACTAGTGCCAAATAAACCCTTTGATGGTACTCTCAAAAGAAAGATGGAGGGGTTATTGATTTATTTGTATAAAAAACTTCTACTACTCACACAACTCCTTGTTCCCTGGAAGAACCTTTGTGTTAAAACCTTTCACCACAATATTATGAATATAATGTTGTTGATACTAAGGCCATATAGGAAATAGAGAATGTCAATTCGGGAAATGCAAATAACACCAATACATATAGCCAACCTCATCATATGTTTAATAGCATATATCAAAGTTACAACCATGTCTTTGCATTTGTCCTTAAACACAAACAATAGTAATGTTAATTTCTATTAGAACAAAAGTATCTTCCATGGGAAGTGGAGTTCAAACATATATAGTTATAAGTGGGAGAAATAATGTCTCCTAGTATCATGCCAATTGAAGAGTATTAATATAGTGGCTAAAACAAGTGCATATAGAAGTTCTATTAAGATTTTGATGAAATGTTGGCTACAATATTTTCAACTTGATTCACTTCGACAAATTTGATATGAGCTACATAAGAATTAAAGGTTTCAAAAGCAAACACTAAATTGCATAACTGACATAAAGCCTCTAGCAAACATGATGTAATTACTGAAAGGTATCATCACAGTTGTTAATATGTCTAAATATACATTTGAAAATATTTGGAAGAAGGCTCCAATGCACATAAGTAGTTGTGCTCAACACTATAATACCATCCCTTAAATATATATGGGAAACTCTTGCAAACACCAAATATCATTTTAATAATGATAAATGGCAATCTCAGTAAAATGATTAAATTAATGGTACATATCATCCCTTAAAACTAAATGTAAGGATTGGCAATTAAAAATAGAAAGATTTACACATACTATAAACATCACCATCACTATTGAGCAATTATATTAATTGTTACTCCAAAGTTATAGAAGAAGGAGGTTGTTACAAAGGAGGAGTATTGAAGACGAATGAAAATAAAAAAATCGAAAACTTACAAAAATAAATGTTGTGAAAGATAGATTGAAACCAAAAGCATAAATCCAAGCACTTTTTAAAATAATAAAAACTGGTGAATACATGGAATGCAAAAGAAATATGTATATTCAATTAACTTAAAACCTTAGTTTATTGATTAAAACTAATTCAATACTTATAAATCCCAACTATTAATGCAATAAATTATTTTTCTTTTAGAAAATGCAATTATTTAGGGCTCATAGATTTCATGAATATTCCCACTTCAACATGGTGAATGGGATCTTCCAAAGCTCAGGCCTTGTCGTGAAGCAATGCACTGCTTGTATGTGCTGCCCTGGCTCCCCAGCGCCATCTCGATGTGGTTGGGAGCTTCAATTGGGGGCGCCTTCACGCTGGTCGGATTCTTTGGCGCCGCCGTCCTTGTCCTCTATTTCGTCATCAAGCTCGTCTGCTGCTTGCGATCCTCCCCCCCGTCCCATGAAACTGATAGCGAGAACACATCAGTAAGATTGAGAGCTTACAGTTCTTACTTCTTTCTAAGATGATGAACAAGAGATCCACGAATTTGTAGGTCAGGACATTGAATGGATTGGAGCCATGCGTCATCGCATCGCTTCCGATCATCATCCATCAATCTCTGCAGCAAGCACAGCAAACAGGACCGCCCAAGAAGTAAGATTAAATTTCTCAATTCTTTCCACTCATCCATGATACTGCTCGTGATTCTTCTCTGGATCGATCAAACCAAACAAAAAACCTTCACATCAAAGGTGTCCCATCTGCCTGGAAGAATTTCATACAGGCAATGCGCTGCGAGTTCTTCCCTGGTGCACGCACAGCTTCCACGTCGAGTGTATCGATCACTGGCTGCGCCAAAACGCGACGTGCCCGGTGTGCCGGATGAGCTTGCGAGAATCTCCCGACGGCACGAACCACGGGGGCGCCACGCTCGATCCGCTCCATCCCAGCCCCATGCTGCGCTTCTCCAGCCCCGAAATCCAGTCCGCCAGGAGCTCCCTCAGCTCCTTCCACACCGGCGAGGGCGAGGACATCGTCATCCCGCGCCAGCCAGTGGCAAATCCAGCAAATCGAGCCATGGACAGATCGAGCGCGGTCGTGAGAGTCCCTAATCCGAGGCGCCAACCAGCATCGAAGGACCGATGGAACCTGAGGTACTGGAGGAAGAACTCCGGTGCTGGAGAATCGAGCAATGCGGCAGAGGTAACGATCAATATCAGCATTGATTTGAGGAGCGCTGGGCGCTCGCCGGGATCGGAGGGGCCATCCACAATCTAGCTCTCTCTTAGGTCATAAGAAAAATTTCAAGACGTTTTGAAATTTATGAGAACGAGGGGAAGTAACGATCAATATCAGCATTGATCCGCAAACTCTCTTTAGGTCATAAGCAAAAATTTCAAGACGTTTTGAAATTTAGGGTTCTTGAGAATGAGGGCTGGATCGCGCGAGGTCGCGGAGAGCTGCCTGGATGGAATCACGATGGAGATGGTGGCGACTTACTGCGACAGGCTACATTCTTCCAAGCCGGATCTGGCCGCTCGCCGGATCGAGGCGATCGGCTTCCAGGTGGGACAGCAGCTCGCGGAGAGGTAAAATTTTCTTACATTGCCGTGGAGCTCAAATGCTTGCGAGGAATGTGGCTTGCATTCCTTGATCTGCTTAGATTGGTTCCAGTGGATCTGCTTGCTTGCGTGAATTTTCCTTTTGGATTGATCTTGTAAGTTCCAAATGTATAAATCTCAAGAAGGTGGTTTTTTCTTCGATCTTTTTTCCTCTTTCCAGATACACAAGAGATCGTCCGCGATTCACAGACCACTTGGAAGTCATCAAGTTCATATGCAAGGATTTCTGGGCGGAGGTTTTCAAGAAGCAGATTGACAATCTCAAAACAAATCATCGGGTACGCAAAAACAAACTTTAGTTTTTCTCGCTCTCTCATCCATCGCTGGTTTTGTTTTCCTCTTTTGTGTGACAACTCCCAGGGCGTGTTTGTTCTGCAAGACACTCGCTTTAGATGGCTAACTCGCATCTCCGTGGACTCGCCTCTCACTCCCTCGGAAGCCAACAACACCACGCTCGCCGCAGCCCAAGCCGGAGGAAAGTATCTCTACTTCCCTTGCGGATTGATCCGTGGAGCTCTCACGAATCTCGGCGTTCCATGCGCAGTTTCGGCAGAGATCGCTGCCTTGCCTGCTTGTAAGTAGAAGACTCCAGTCTTTCTCTTTCTTGTCTAATCTTTTCACCTCTTCTCTTGAATCAGGCTCCTTCATCATCCGGATCAAAGTCTAACTAGACAGAGAAGTAAGCATTTCGTGTCGTGTCGTCCATTTTTCTTCCAGAGCGTAAAATTCTCGCAAGATCGAAGAAGAAGCTACTAGATATATACAACGAATGATCCAGAGAATTCATGCAAGCGCTGTCGTGGCCGTTTTCCAGAGGTACGCGGCCGTGTTTCTAAGCTACGTGGCAGCCAAACGACAATATGCCAGAATCTTTGGTGGTCCTAGAGAGGTATCATTCAATAGAACATTGACAATACGAGGCAGCCATACGAATATGGGGCTAGGCGTGATTGGTGCCCTGTGGCGAACTACAGCCTTCACACATAGACCATGGAAAAATCAAATATCGAAGATTGGATACAATGTTATATCCCAAGCCTTGTGGAATTTAATCACATTCACAAGGTTTTCCATAAAATATGATACCGTGGCGAGATCTTGTCCGTCGATACGTGACTCTATCCAGCACATAAATATGTTTGAGACTGTCCCAGCCCTTCCATGCTTCTCACGCTTCTCGCGCCTTCTCTCAGTCTCTTCTTGGAGCTCCTTGCGGCCGCGATTTGTCACGCTGTGGATTGCGCTGAGCGATACAGCAGGTATGGAGAGGGATCTTCTTCCTCTTAGGGCGGATTTGACTCTAGATTTTGCTGTCCCCAGGGCATGGAATCTCTCAATCTTCCTGGGATTTCGTTGCGCGTGATTCCAAAGCCCAAAATCAAGAATGCCGGCTCGATCGAGCCGCTGCTGTCCGGGAATTTCACATCCTCGAGCTACTGCTCATCCGCGGTTCGTAAATCGGCGTCGCTACGTCACGGAAAGACAAAATTACCCACACGGGCAACTATGGTGGAACCCGGGACTGTAGAAACCAGTCCTTCGGAAACCAGTCTTCCACTTACACTACAAGAAGTGGAAGTTCTTCCGGAAACCCGTCCCCAGCCAGTGAATTCTGGAAGCTCCTACTCGCTCGAATTTTCGTCTGGGTCTCAACAGGACGTCCAAGTTTTGGTTGCTTCTCCTTCTTCCGCTGTGACTGACAAAGATCGTCAAGTGGACAGATTTTTAAATGCGAGCTTGATAGCAGCAGCCGCGGCTTATGCTCTTGGAAAAATCGTGACGGTGGATCAAGACTACTGGCAAGTAAGTTTTTGTGTACTATAGCTTTGTCAACTCGTATCTCAAACGTTTCTTTTCCTCCAGGGATGGACATTCTATGAGATCATCAAGTACGCGCCAGTTCACAACTGGAGTGCGTACGAGGAGGCTCTCAAGAGCCACCCCGTTCTTGCGAAGATGATGATCAGTGGCATCGTTTACTCGATCGGTGACTGGATGGCTCAGGTACTTCAAAACTTCGATGCTTTTTAATTTTCCTTGTGTTAAACATCTCTATACCTTTCAGTGCTACGAAGGGAAACCTGTGCTAGATTTCAGTCGAACGCGAATGTTAAGATCCGGACTTGTGGGATTTTGCTTGCATGGATCACTTTCGCATTACTATTACCATGTTTGTGAGGTCCGTTTTCTTCCGTGTTGATCGAGTTTCAGTCAAAAGCTTACGTAGATTGCAAATTGCAGGCCCTCTTTCCGTTCAAGGAGTGGTGGGTTGTACCCCTCAAGGTCGGGTTTGATCAAACAATTTGGTCAGCGTTTTGGAACAGCGTGTATTTCATCACACTCGGCCTCTTGCGTTTAGAGAACCCAGTGACAATTGTGTCTGAGCTTAGATCGACGTTCTTTCCACTCCTCACGGTATAGTTCCTCTTCCTCAATCCACAAAAGAATGTAGTTCTCATGAATCGTCACCTTACAGGCCGGCTGGAAACTTTGGCCATTTGCGCACCTGGTAACTTATGGTCTCATCCCAGTGGAGCAGAGACTGCTTTGGGTGGATTGCGTGGAGCTAGTCTGGGTGACCATTCTATCTATGTGAGTGCGGGAAGCTCTTTTTGCTCGTTTTTGCTCACATCTAATCGCGTTGTTTTCTCGTAACCAGGTACTCGAATGAGAAGGCTGAAGCACGGAGCTCTGAAGATGCTGAGAAGAGCTAAAAACCAAAGTTTTGGTAGGCCATTTATAAAGTAAATATCACAAACTTGAGGATTAGCTTCACTTCTCTTTGAAGCAAAGATCTCACTCATCACAATGCGCGGTGGTTTGCAGAAAGCTCTTACAAAGTAAATAGCACAAACTTGAGGATTAGCTTCACTTCTCTTTGAAGCAAAGATCTCCTCATCACAATGCGCGGTGGTTTTCAGAAAGCTCTAGGTAGCCCTATAGCTCCTGGCAAGCGGGGATTCGAGGTTGATTGATCTCACGGAAGAAAACCTTGGAAATTGGATGATCCGTGGCTGCAAGCAAAGATCGAGCTTCCCCGGCAGAGGCAACAATTTTTTCGGAAACTGGAAAAAAAAAAGAGAACTTGGAAATCGTCCTCGTGAGGTGGTAAAACAAAATCTCACTCCAAATGCCATGCCCATGCATGCGCGTGCACGAGGCTTCTTATGGAATGGGGCCCCATGATGGGGCAACCATGCGATGCCCCTTCTGGCCAGGCACCATGACGTGGCAGTGACACGTGGGCGCGGCGTGGCACCCCACCTGCCGGAAGAGCGACGTGTCGCACACATTCCGTCATATTCCGGCCACAATTTATGATTGCGCGTGCACGGCGGACACCTGGCCAAAAGCGATGCCCGCCAGGCGGCGGCGAATATTCCCCTGGGGTCTTGTCTAGCGTGTACATTCAAGTGAGCACGTGAGGATTCCCGCGAATATCCCCGCTCTCGAGTGAATGCGGCACGCGCCTCGAGCGCTGGCGGATCGCGATGCTGCGCAAAACGTATAATAAGCTTTTGATATGGAGTTTTGTGTTGGATTGATAGGCTTTTAAGGAATGGAATAGAACCAACATTCATGTGATGATTATACATGTTTCTTGTTTAGACATTTCGTTAGATTCCCTATGGTTTTTTTTTGCCGCTCTTTTTCCCCGGTGGAGTGAGATCGAAGGCAGAGAACTATCTATGATAATAATAAAGAAAACGAGATTTGCTAATCCCGAGCCGGTCAGCGGGGATTCTGGTTCTTGGCCAACTTGGTCGGTCAAAAGTTGATGGCAACAAGAGAATATTCTCGATTCCAATTCGATCACAGTGGTGGTGGATGTCTAGAAGAATTATAAGCGCATTCTCCGCTATGTTGCTACTTCTATAGCAATCTCAATCTTAGCTCTGGCAATGCATTGACATTGTAAGAATTCACCATCTTCTTCGTCTTTCTTCACTGTCAAAAAGAAGTCCCCACCTAAAACACGAAGTCTTCAAAAGCTAGCCACAGAGAAGAGACAGCTTTGTCATTCGCAAAAACCCTAAAGGGACAAAAACAAGTTCAAACCTAAAAAGTTGACTGGAAACGGCTTAACAGAAAAGCAAAATCCCCTGCGCTTGGACGGACTCGAACCCGGACAGGCTGGAGGGCGCGATAAATACTAAGGAGAAAAAAAACAGGAGCGACGAGAAACAGAGCCTTAGCTTGCCATGGTTTTGCGTTGCCCGACGCAGGCATTTGCTGCTCTGGGGTGACACCAAACCCTTTCATTCAATGCTGGCCCGTTGAAATCGCATTGGTCTTTGATGCGTTTCACCCACCGCTTTCTTTGAGTCTGCGCCTTCATTCCTCCTCCAAGGTCATCTTCGTCGAGATTATTCTTCCACTGGAAAAAAATCTCCGCTTGCTCTTCCGCCAAGAACTCTGGAAAGGTCACCAAGGAGAATCGTCATGGTAAGTGGTGTCACTGACGATTCGAGAGTAGCGATTGAGCTCTGTCCGTGTGTAGATCGCGTTCGCAATGTAGCTCGGTTTTGAGGGAGCGATCACCGATGGGCTCGATGTTCTTCTTCGCTGCTCTGGCCACCTTCTTCGCGATCGCTGTCACTGGAGCTTCTTCCTCGCCGGACTTGCAATGGCTGCTGGAGCTCAAGGCCGGGTTCCAAGCCGACCCTTTGAACGCCACCGGCGACTGGATTCCTCCGGATCGTCACCGAAATGGCAGCACCAGCAGCAGCGACCCCTGTTCGTGGTCCGGGATTTCCTGCAGTGATCACGCTCGAGTCACCGCCATCAATCTCACCTCCACGTCTCTCACCGGCTCGATCTCCTCGTCGGCAATCGCCCACCTCGACAAGCTGGAGCTTCTCGATCTCTCCAATAACTCCTTTTCGGGGCCGATGCCTTCGCAATTACCCGCCAGCCTTCGCAGCCTGCGCCTCAACGAGAACAGCCTCACAGGACCACTCCCAGCTTCCATCGCCAACGCCACGCTACTGACCGAGCTCCTCGTCTACTCCAATTTGCTCTCGGGTTCCATTCCCAGCGAGATCGGCCGCCTCTCCAAGCTCCGAGTCCTCCGCGCAGGCGACAATCTCTTCTCCGGCCCAATCCCGGACTCCATCGCAGGCCTCCACTCTCTCCAGATCCTGGGCCTCGCCAACTGTGAGCTCTCCGGCGGCATACCGCGCGGCATCGGCCAGCTCGCCGCCCTCGAGTCGCTGATGCTCCACTACAACAACCTCTCCGGCGGTATACCGCCCGAGGTCACGCAGTGCCGCCAGCTCACCGTCCTCGGGCTGTCCGAAAACCGCCTCACCGGCCCCATACCGCGCGGCATCTCGGACCTCGCGGCTCTTCAAACGCTCTCCATATTTAATAACTCGCTGTCCGGTAGCGTCCCCGAGGAGGTCGGGCAGTGCCGTCAGCTCCTCTACCTCAATCTCCAGGGCAACGATCTCACCGGCCAGCTGCCCGACTCCCTGGCCAAGCTCGCGGCGCTGGAGACGCTGGATCTATCCGAGAATTCCATCTCGGGGCCCATCCCAGACTGGATTGGAAGCTTGGCTAGCCTGGAGAACTTGGCGCTGTCGATGAATCAACTATCAGGAGAAATCCCGTCCTCGATCGGTGGCCTGGCGAGGCTGGAGCAGCTCTTCCTGGGATCCAACCGGCTCAGCGGCGAGATTCCTGGAGAGATCGGGGAATGCAGGAGCTTGCAGCGGCTGGATCTCTCGAGCAATCGGCTCACAGGGACGATCCCGGCGTCGATCGGGAGATTATCGATGCTCACGGACCTGGTGCTCCAATCGAATTCACTGACGGGATCGATACCGGAGGAGATCGGATCATGCAAGAACCTGGCAGTGCTGGCGCTGTATGAGAACCAGCTCAACGGATCCATCCCAGCCTCGATCGGCTCGCTCGAGCAGCTCGATGAGCTCTACCTCTACCGCAACAAGCTCAGTGGCAATATTCCAGCCTCGATCGGTAGCTGCTCCAAGCTGACGTTGCTGGATCTCTCCGAGAATCTCCTCGACGGCGCCATCCCTAGCTCGATCGGCGGCCTTGGCGCGCTCACGTTTCTCCATCTGCGAAGGAATCGACTGTCTGGATCGATCCCGGCGCCTATGGCGAGATGCGCCAAGATGCGCAAGCTCGATCTTGCGGAGAACAGCCTCTCCGGGGCGATTCCCCAAGACCTAACGAGCGCCATGGCCGATCTGGAGATGCTGCTGCTCTACCAGAACAATCTCACTGGAGCCGTGCCGGAATCCATCGCCAGCTGCTGCCACAACCTCACGACGATCAATCTCTCCGATAATCTCCTCGGCGGAAAAATCCCTCCACTTCTTGGATCGTCGGGCGCGCTCCAGGTTCTTGATCTAACGGACAATGGCATTGGCGGGAATATCCCTCCTAGCCTGGGAATATCCTCAACGCTGTGGAGGCTTCGTTTGGGCGGGAACAAGATCGAGGGTTTGATTCCGGCAGAGCTAGGGAACATCACGGCTCTCTCTTTCGTGGATCTCAGCTTCAATCGCTTGGCCGGGGCCATTCCATCGATTCTTGCGAGCTGCAAGAATCTCACGCACATCAAGCTGAATGGAAATCGGCTCCAAGGTAGGATTCCAGAGGAGATCGGCGGCCTCAAGCAGCTAGGGGAGCTCGATCTGTCCCAGAACGAGCTCATCGGCGAAATCCCTGGCTCGATCATCAGCGGCTGCCCCAAAATCTCGACGCTCAAGCTCGCGGAGAACAGGCTGAGCGGGAGGATTCCGGCGGCGCTAGGGATTCTCCAGTCGCTCCAGTTCTTGGAGCTCCAAGGGAACGATCTGGAGGGGCAGATTCCAGCGTCCATTGGAAACTGTGGATTGCTGCTCGAGGTAAACCTCTCCCACAACAGTCTCCAGGGCGGGATCCCGCGAGAGCTGGGAAAGCTCCAGAACTTGCAAACGTCCCTGGATCTTAGCTTCAATCGCCTCAACGGCAGCATCCCTCCGGAGCTCGGCATGCTCTCCAAGCTGGAGGTCTTGAATCTGTCCAGCAACGCGATCTCTGGAATGATCCCGGAGTCCCTGGCAAACAACATGATCAGCCTGTTGTCCCTCAACCTCTCGTCCAACAATCTCTCGGGGCCTGTTCCAAGCGGCCCGGTCTTCGATCGAATGACGCAGAGTTCCTTCTCCAACAACAGGGATCTTTGCAGCGAGAGTTTGTCATCCTCGTCCACTTCCAGCAAGAGCAAAGTCATTCTCCTCCCAGCATGCAAAGGTTCGTCCAGCGATCCGGGCTCTACGACTTCCAGCGGAAGCAGGCCACCTCATCGAAAAAAACACCGGATTGTTCTAATCGCGTCGCTGGTGTGCTCGCTCGTCGCTCTCGTCACTCTGGGATCCGCCATCTATATTCTCGTCTTCTACAAGCGAGACCGTGGCAGGATTCGTCTCGCTGCTTCCACAAAGTTCTACAAGGATCACAGGTTGTTCCCGATGCTCAGCAGGCAGCTCACTTTCAGCGATCTGATGCAAGCCACGGACTCGCTCAGCGATCTCAACATCATTGGAAGTGGTGGATTCGGAACAGTGTATAAGGCGATTCTACCATCGGGCGAAGTTCTGGCCGTGAAGAAAGTTGACGTCGCCGGAGATGGAGATCCGACGCAGGACAAGAGCTTTCTCCGCGAGGTCTCGACTCTGGGCAAGATCCGGCACAGGCACCTCGTCCGCCTCGTCGGCTTCTGTTCGCACAAAGGCGTCAACTTGCTCGTCTACGACTACATGCCCAACGGAAGCTTGTTTGATCGGTTACACGGGTCGGCCTGTACCGAGAAGAACAATGCGGGTGTTTTAGATTGGGAGTCGAGACACCGGATTGCTGTTGGTATTGCCGAAGGGATCGCTTACTTGCATCACGACTGTGCTCCGCGGATCGTTCATCGTGATATCAAGTCCAACAACGTCTTGCTGGACTCCCGGGATGAGCCGCACCTAGGCGACTTTGGCCTGGCCAAGATCATTGACAGCAGCAGCAGCTCTCACACACTGTCCGTTTTCGCGGGATCCTATGGTTACATCGCTCCAGGTACGTACTTCCGTAATGTTTCTTCATTGTGTCGAAGTGCTATTATGCCTGTTGCGTGTTCTTCCGTTTTTTCTCCTTGCTGTTTAGATTTGCAAGTTCTCTATCTATCCAGCGGTGTTCTCATGGCTTTCTGTTTCCTTGCAGAGTACGCGTACACAATGCGTGCGTCGGAGAAGACGGACATCTACAGCTTTGGAGTGGTTCTCATGGAGCTGGTGACTGGCAAGCTTCCTGTGGATCCAACTTTTCCAGACGGCGTGGACATTGTAAGCTGGGTGCGGCTGAGGATCAGCCAGAAGGCGAGCGTGGACGATCTCATCGACCCGCTGCTCCAAAAGGTGTCCCGGACGGAGAGGCTGGAGATGCTGCTGGTGCTCAAGGCGGCACTCATGTGTACGAGCTCGTCGCTCGGGGACAGGCCGAGCATGCGCGAGGTTGTGGACAAGCTCAAGCAAGTGAAGCAGGAGAACTGGATAGTGTCGATCGACTGTGCCGACTTGATGGAAATCCTGGAGCCGTCGGATAGCAGCAGCGGCAGCGTCAGCGCGACAGGGGCAGGACACCAGTGATGAGAGCCTTCGACATAAAAGGAATGGTGGTGATCATGAAATGGCAGACTTTCCAGGTACGCGTGGTTTCTGGAAGTTTAACATTCTTTCTTTCTCTTTACTAATGATTGTGTGCTCTTGCAGGATGAGCGATGATCAGCTTTGCGAAACAATGGCTTGGCCAGATCTGGAAACTTTGGTGCCGTGATGTGTTACTCCGGAAGTTATGAAGCTCGTCCAGGCCGCGAGATCTGGCACGAAAGGCATCGAGTCCAGCAGCTCCTGGGCTTGCTCCATCCATCCGGCTCGTCCCAGGAGATCGACCATGCAGCCGTAGTGATCCGCGCCCCTTGCGACGGAAAAATCCGTGCTTGCCGCGCGGAAGAGCTCGTACCCGATCTGGAAGGCTCCTGCATGGCTGCAGCTCGAAAGGAGGCACAGCAGCGTCACTCCGTCCCATCTCACACCATCGAGGCACATGAGTTGGGCGAGACGGACGGCCTGGATGGTATGCCCGAGCTGGGCATACGCCGCCATCATCGAGTTCCAGCACTGGGCGTCTCTCTCGGGCAAATCCTCGAAGATCAACGCCGCCTCTTCCAAGCTGCCGGACCGAGAGTACATCGTGATCAGCGCGGTGCCCACCCGGCGGTCGCGGTGGAAGCCCATGGCGCGGATCTCCGAGTGGATCATCCTCCCCCGCGAGAGATCCGCGCAGGCGTCGGCGATGGCGACGAGCGCGACTCGATCGATCGCGGCGCCCTCCAGATCCATCCTCGCGAAGAGCACCAGCGCCTCCGAGCGCGCGGCGTAGGCGGAGATGAGCGAGGTCCAGGAGATAGCGTCCCGGTCGGGCATGGCGTCGAATATTCGCCGGGCATCTTCCAGGTGACCGTTGAGCGAATATGCCGCGAGCATCGCGTTGCGGGCGGCCGTGTCCGGGGGTGTTATGTGGGTGAAGATGTATTCGGCGGAGCTGAGATCTCCGCGCTGGGCAAAAGCGGTGAGGAGTGTGGTGGATGAGTGTGTGGATTTTTGGGGCATTTGCTGGTATGCTGTTTGTGCGCCGCGGAGATCACCCCTATTGATGTGTGAAAGGACAAGATTGGTCCATGAGGTGGTATCTTTCGCGGGCATTCGCTGGAATAGGGCGATGGATTCTTGGAGATTGCCCCGTGCGGCATAGCCGGCGAGCATTGAGTTCCAGGCAGTGAGATCATCGCTCTTGGGCATTGAATCGAAAAGAGTTTTAGCACGATTGAGGTCTCCCCTCTCTGTGTATGACGTGATGAGGACGTTCCAGGATGTGGAATTCCTCTGTGGCATTCGATCAAAGAGGCTCTTGGCTTGAGAATGATCCCGACTTTGGGCATATGCAGTGATTATGGTGTTCCAGGAGACAATGTTCTTTCTTTCCATTTGATCAAACACCTTTCTCGCGAGTTCGATCTGCCCGCTTTGGGCTAGACCTGTTATGATAGAATTCCATGACACCAAATCTTTATTGGGCATTTTGTTGAGAAGATCGAGAGCTCTATCAAATTGCCCATTTTGGGTATATGCTGAGGCGAGGGCGTTCCATGACTCTGGGCTGGGGTCTGGGATGCGATCAAAGAGATTTTTCGCGAGGTCGATCTTTGCTGCGTTGGAATAGGCCGTAATCATCGCTGTCCACGACACGGAATCTTTCTGGGGCATCAGATCGAAGAGAGACTCCGCGCGGTGGAATTGCCCGTTCCTGGCGTAGCACGCGATCAGGATGTTGTTGGTGAAGAGATTGGGCTCGCGAATTCGCTCGTAGACGGCCTCGGCGTCCTCGACGCTGCCGCATTTCCCATACATCTCGATGAGGAGATTGCTGAGAAATCTGCTGTGGGCGTGCGGGGAGGCGAGGATCTGGCAGTGGATCTCTCTTCCTCGAGCCAAGCTTTTGGAATTCCCCGCGGATCTGACAGTAGCTGCGAGGAGAGCTCGTTCTTCGTCGAGAAGGGATCGTTCTCCCATTCTTCCCGCCGCGATCGGACGGTGAAGAGCGGCATTTTGGTTTGAATTCCAACGGTCCAGATTGCCTTATCCCCTGCCAAGAACCCTAATGGCTATGGCGACGACGGCATGGAATCCCAGGTGCGTCGTCTACGAGGGATTGAGCGTGAGATCCTCGTTCTTCCAGAGCCCAGCAGCCATTCCAGCGCCAGCGCCACAGAATGTGGAGCGATCCCGGCGGAACGCGACGATTAGGGCGGCTTCCTCGTCGGGAGGAGCGACGCTGCCCCTCTTCTCCTTCGATGGCGAGTGCACGGGCTCGGTGTTCCTGGATCTCAAGGTCGCCAGCGCTCACACGGCCCGGGGATTGGTCCACAGGGGCGTGATCACGGAGCTCCAGAATCGCCGGCGCGGCACAGCGTCGACCAAGACGAGGGCGGAGGTTCGCGGAGGAGGGAGGAAGCCCTACAAGCAGAAGGGGACGGGAAGAGCGCGCCGAGGATCGCAGCGAACGCCACTGCGGCCTGGCGGAGGGATCGTGTTTGGGCCCAAGCCCAAGGACTGGGGGATCAAGATCAACAAGAAGGAGAAGAGGCTCGCGATCAGCACGGCTCTCCAGAGCGCGGCGGTGGATTCCATCGCGGTGGAGGACTTCGAGGAGAAATTCACGGAGCCCAAGACGAAGTTCTTCCTGGCGGCGATGGAGAGATGGGGCGTGGACGTGAGCAAGCACTCGCTCATCTTCGCGACCAATGTGAACGATTTCCTGGAGAAATCGAGCAGGAACATCAAGACGGTGAAGATGCTGACGCCGCGGAGCCTGAACCTCTACGATGTTCTTCGCGCGGACAAGATCCTCTTCACGAGCTCGGGGATCGACTACTTGAATCAAAGCTATGGTGTGAAATCGCAGCTGGAGGAAGAAGAAGAAGAAAGCGATGAAAGTGAGGAGGAGGAGGAGGATGGTGAAGAAGAAATCGAGGAAGATCAAGGCGACGACGAAGAAGATCAAAGTTCTTGAAACAGGGGATTTCACAAGAGCCCTAAAACAGAGGATATTTTGAGAAGAACCCTAAAAACCAGAGGATATTTTGTTCATTTTGCTTGTTCGAATCCCCGGGGCAAAAACCCTAAGCGAGGGCAGCGATCCGCGAGCGCCATGTAAGGATTCCTCCTCTAGGCATTCCTGGATCCATCGCCGGGCACGGGGCGCAGGGCTTTCGCGCAGGAAATCCATGGGCGCCTCTTGGAGCTCTGCGGACCCGGGAGGGAATTCCCGGCCTGGAGGCGCCGGTAATGCAGCGGCCATTCCCTCGATCGGCAGCAGCGGCGACTCTTCGAAGCGCCAGAGGCGCATCGCGGGGGAGCACCAGTGGCAGTTGATTCCAGGGCTTCCGGACGAGGTCGCGATGCACGCCCTGGCGCGGGTGCCGCGCTCGTGGCATCCGGCGATGAAGCTCGTGTGTAGCTCGTGGCGGCAGGTCATGAGCTCGAGCGAGATCTTCCGGCTGAGGCGCGAGCTGGGCGTGGTGGAGGAGTGGCTCTACGTGCTCATGAAGGACAAGGAGGAGGAATTGGTGTGGTTTGCGCTTGATCCACTCACGGCCCAGTGGCGGAGATTGCCGCCCATGCCCGACGTGGATCATCACCAGCACCATCGCCAGCAGCAGCAGGAAAGAGATCTCGCCGGATGGAGCTTGTGGGAGCTCGGCTCTTCCATCTCGGGGATGGTGAGGTCGCTGTTTGGGAAGAAGGACTCCTCCGAGAGGATCCCATTCTTCGGCTGCTCGGCGGCGGAGCTCCACGGCTGCCTGTTCGTCCTGGGGGGATTCTCCAAGGCCTCGGCGACGTCCTCGGTGTGGAAGTATGATCCGCGGACAGACTCGTGGAGCAAGGCCGCCGCCATGGGGACCGCGCGAGCTTACTGCAAGACGGGGCTGGTGGATGGCAACTTGTACGCTGTGGGTGGCGTGAACCGGGGCCGGAATGGCCTCACTCCACTCCAGTCGGCGGAGGTTTACGATCCGGAGGCCGACGCCTGGAGCGCGATCCCCAGCATGCCGTTCGTGGGCGCCCAAGTTCTTCCCACGGCGTTCGTGACGGACATACTCAAGCCCATCGCCACCGGGATGGCGGCGTTCCGGGGGAAGCTGTGGGTGCCGCAGTCGCTCTACTCGTGGCCCTTCTTCGTGGACGTTGGCGGCGAGGTGTTTGATCCGGTGTCCGGGAGGTGGGAGGAGATGCCGCGCGGGATGGGCGAGGGGTGGCCGGCTCGCCAGGCCGGGATGAAGCTGAGCGTGGTGGTGAACGGGAGCTTGTTCTCGCTGGATCCGATGAGCACCGCCGAGGGCAGCAAGATCAAGGTGTATGACTTCGAGCAGGATTGCTGGAGGGTGGTGGTGCGGAAGGTGCCCATGGTCTTGGATCTCTCCACCGAGTCGGAGTCGCCATACTTGCTCGGGTGCCTGAGGAGCGGCCTTCATGTGGTGACCAAGGACGCCGGGAACAACGTGACCATTCTGCGGGCGGAGATCGACGGCGGGCGTGGCGCGGGGGATTCCGAGGCGGAATCGTGGACGGTGATCGCGAGCAAGAGCTTTGGCCGCGTCGAGCTGGTTGCGTGTCAAGTCTTGGAGATATAAAATGTGGTGTATTTAATGTAAATTTACGTATAAACGCGGATGTAGATTAATTTAATCGCCAGGTAACGACAATTAGCAGTGCACGCAATCGCCGTGCGACACGTGAGCGGTCCCCGTCGGCGAAACTTTTTCAAAGGCGCGGTGCCACGCGGCTGGAGCTTGACCGGCGATGCGTGGAATATCTTTACGCGTCGGCAAGCGTAGCGGAATATGCTGGCGACGGGCACGGTTACTTGGCTATGGCGTCCTTTGGCTATGGCGGCTAGGTTTTTAATTCTTTTGTTTGCCAGTGGCATGATCATCAGAGTTGAGGGAAGGAAAGCGCTTGATAGAATTGCTAGAGATTATGGAGACATTGGTGCTGCCGTCGCAAGATCAGCTATCACAGCACCAGTATTGGCAGAAGCGCAGTGTTATGGATCTCTTCTCCCCGCGCTCCACTCCTCCCAGGTATCACAAGGCAGATCTCTCGTCGCCAGCGTCTAGATCCATCCAGCGAACGAGTTCCGTGACCGATTTTTCCCCCCTTTCTCCCGTTGCACTCTCTCGGACGGCGGATGCGCGGCCGTCCACTGCCAGCGGCCGATTGTCCCAGAACCAGAATCAACCTCCAAAGGGGAGATCTTCCCCTTCCAAGAACGCGAAAGGGAATACCAAGGTTTCTGGCAAAGGAGGCAACGGCAGCAATAAAACCAAGGGCAGCAAGGTCGGGGAGAATGGAATCGCCCCGAAGCCCAAATCAAAGATGGGTTTTGTCAAGAAGGACAAGGGTGGCACCAGGAAGGAGGAGTCGCCACCCAAAATCACGATTTTGCAGCGCCCGCAGTCCAAGGAAGCCGCAATGCGCGATCTGGCCAAGATCACCGGGCTCCCACTGTCGGAGGTGTATGCAAAGAACGGGCTTTCGGCTCCCGAGAACGCCGCTGTGAAGGGTTCGAGCAAGAGGGCGGATGATCCGGTGGTGAAAGCGGGTGCTGGAGTTGTCGCGAAGAACAGGCAGCGTGACGGTGCTGCTAGGACTGCCAAGTCCGTCAAAGTCGTCAAGGTGGTGGCCCAAATCGTCGCCGCCGCCGCTCTAGAGACGAAGAAGGAAGAACAACGAGGTGGTGTTTTAGTGAAGGAGGAGGAGACTACCAAGGTGGCTACTACTACTACTACTACTACTACTGTAGATTCATCAACGAGAACAACGAAAGTTTTAGAAGAACCAGTCGGAGCTGCTAACAACAACAACAACAACAACAACGTCGTAAGCGATGGGTGTGGTGGCCCGTTTGCCCGGAACTTTGGCGAGGCCTTTTATCCTCCGCCATTGTTCGACGAGAAGTGGGCCGGGCCGGCCTTCACAAACTCGCCTCCGCCCAGCTCTCTCCCGATTCCAAACTTCTCGCTGAGGAAGCCGGAGATGCTGGCGGTGCAGGCCGAGTTTGCCAGGATCATGGACACGGAGGCGGCCACTCGAGGACTGCGCAGGATCCTCAACTTGGATTTCTGAGGGTAACTTAAGAACAGGAAGAACAAAGGTGGAGGAGGTGGTGGCGGACAGGAAAATGGTTACTTTGGAGGAGGATGGTTTGACTGGTGTGTACAATCGGGGTCTCGGGTTGTAGGAGAACTACTAGACAAGTAGTGTGCAGGAGTTTCAACAGGTATAGGATTGGATCTATCACTTGGATCACAGTCGGGAGGAAGAGGGAGAAACGCCCATCGTTTTTGGTGTGGGCAAAACTGCGGGGAAGTTTTCGTCGGAGGAGCAGCCAGCTTTAGATCGGGACTGGGCTGCCCGCGCTTGGCGATCTCCGACGACATGTCCCCCAGCTCTCTTCCTTGGGTTCTTCTTTTCTTCACATTTTCTTCTAGTGTCACACTGGTTGCCGCGGAGACAAGGGACTTCTGGTGCGCAGAAGTAAATAATCCGGGCAACGTTTTGTATATAATCCGATAGGCGGTGGTGGCGGCGGCATCGAGAAAGGCTTGGCTCGGTGTATGTATACTATATGAAAGAATGGTGGTAAAAGGGGGGGATTGATGGACGTGGTGGTGGAACTTGCATCATTTTATTATAACTAATAGAGGCACACAAGGAAAAAAAACGAAAAAAAAAAAAAGAGGAAAAGAAACATAAAAACAAATGAGAGCGAGAGCAAGAGAGAAGGATTAATAAGCTTTTTGGTAATTTGACTGAATTAATATAAGAAATGCATGTAGATTAGAAAAACGTGATGGAGTCTATGATTTTGTGGGATTCTGTGTCCTTATTTTGTGGAGTTGGACATCCACTTGTTTGCTTGCGTATGTTTCGTGATGTTCCACCCAAATCGCATATGTTTTCATTGCGATTTTCATATATTCTGTTCCTGTATCATCTTTTTCCTATAGTGCTTGAATCAATCAGCTGGGGCCTCAGACTTTCAGACTGTTCCTGCCAACCATGCAAACGAGAAAAAAGCTTGCAACCTCAAAAGGTTTTCAAGCGAGAGAGAGGGACATGCTACCATCGTTTGTGACCAAAACAAGAGACCAAAGCGAACTTTATAAAGAGATGCGGTGAGCGTGGATCGAACACGCGACCTTCAGATCTTCAGTCTGACGCTCTCCCAACTGAGCTATCCCCGCTTCGGTGGAATCTCTCCCTCCAGCGAAATTACTATAGGAGCTTTCAAACAAGGGCATATTCGCAGATTTAGGGCTCTTGCGCATTACCATCGCGAGCGGCATGAGCAGCTTCGCGGCGGCAGCGGCAAGGCGGCGCGCCTCTCCCTCCTCCACATCTGGTACTGGAATTTTTATCCCGGCTCCATTCTTAGAGCATCGCATTGCATACCAGGATCGTGGAGTAGTAGAATTTTCGCGTTCTCCACGAAAGCCCCGGAGAACAATGCGGATTCTCACGATGATTTCAAGCCTGTTGCGAAGACTGCTGCTGGATCTGTCCACGAGATGATCGAGAAGGTTCTTTCTTGCATCTCTGTGTGTTTTTCCTTCCATTAACGAGGAGAATTTCCATCCAGGATATTCAAGGCAACCCCGTGATGGTGTATATGAAAGGCAATCCGGACGCTCCACAGTGTGGCTTTAGTGCCATGGTGGTGAGAATCCTCAAGCACTACGGTATGGAAAATTATTCCCAGTCGATCGATCTCTTGGTTTTGATTCTTTTCTCGTTTTTCATCCACGCAGAGGTTCCTTTCAGCTCTAGAAACGTGCTTGAGGATGCCGAGCTCAGGGAAGGCGTAAAATCTTTCAGGTAAAACCAAGCTATCCATCCTGAGCTTGACAGAATTGTTCTGTTTTTTTTTCTCGTTTTTCTCAGCAAGTGGCCGACGATTCCTCAAGTTTATATCAAAGGCGAGTTTGTCGGTGGCTGTGACATTGTCACAAACATGCATCGGGTAAGAAGCAAACAAGAGGCAACAAAAGAATTGACATAAAATTCTCTTTTTGGTCCACAGTCTGGTGAACTGAAGGACAAATTAAAGGCTCTGAATCCAGATCTACCATAGCAGTCAAGAGCAAATCTCACAAACACTTGAGCTTTTTCTCCGCGTTCATTTTGTTTTCCTTCCTCAGCATTCTTTGCTCTTCTCCAAGTGACAGAGTTGCCTCAGCCTGGTCGGAACATACCATATCCTCAGCTTGTCATTCCTGCTGAAAACTCCCTCGATATCCCAGTTGAGGTTCCTCGCCATCTCCACCAGCGGATAGTAGCAAGCCTGCCTCCACGCTCCAACATTCTCTCCTCGATCCTTAAACACCTTCCTCAGATGGTTGGACTGCTCCAGGTCCAGGCAGTGCAGCGCGTAGCAGTGGACGTAGTGTCTCATCTTCGGCTTGTTGATGTAGCTCGCTCCCCGGTGCTTGGCGTGCCGGAACACTTGGTTCGTCACCTACAAAGACCGACTTTCCAGCGTAAGGAACTCCATTGCTTTCTATCAAGAACAAAATGACCAACTTTACCTTCGTAGGACACTTCTCTCCTCGCTCCTTGCACTGTTGCTGGACTTCGTCGAGGTACCTCCCGCACTGCTCGTAGAGATCAAACAGGTAGTCGAGGCCGTTCTTCTTCCCCCTGGCAAGCTCTCCGGGCTCCGTCACTATGAAGGGGTGCTCTCTCGGCCTGTCCTCCTCGCCGTCCTCCCCATCGTCCTTGGACCTTTTGCGCTTTTGTTTCTTCTTCCTCTTCCTCTCGGTATCACTTCCTCCTCCGGCGTCGCCAGCCGGAACGATGCTCGTTCCAGCGACCAGCTGCTGTGGGTGCTCCTGCTGCTGCTGCTGCTGCTGCTGCTGCTGTGCTAGAAGCAAAGGATCTCTCACCACAAGGGCTCCTCCAATTCCATCTGGTATTAGTATGCTGGCTGCAGTGTTACTGTTGCTAACGTTGTCTCTTCTTCCAGGCACTGGAACACGATCGAGAATATAAACTTGTGTAGACCAGGAAGATACAGAGACAATGGAGGATAGAGAAAGAGGTGCGTACCTTCTTTGGAAGTCGTAGCGTGATCTTCGAGCCTTCGCCTCTTATCCACAGTTCTGGGAGGCTGCTGCTGAGCTTTGGACGACGACTTTTGCCGCTCCAGATCGTCCTCGAGGTGCTTCCGCTCCGCCCGAATGGCCGACTTGATCCCATACTTCTCTCCCACCAGGAGCTCGACGTGGTAACCCTCGAGCATTGTTTTGATCACGTCCTCCAACTCCTGATCCGTCATGTTCACCAGCGTCTGGACCGTGAATCCCATCTCGGCCATCTTTGCCAGAGTCGTGATGCGCACGCCATAGTCCTTGAAGAGCTCGTCCAGCGTCTTGGCGTCTCGGCGGCGGGGAGGCGGAGGAGGAGGCGGCGGCGGCGCTAGAGGCAGCGGGGCTCCCCCAGGTCCGGCGGAGGTGAAGCCAAACTCGAAAGCCCGAGGAGGAAGATGGCGGTGGTGGTGGTGATCGAGAGCTCCTCCTCTTCCAGCGGCGGCGGCAGCGGCGGCGGCGGCGGCATTTGGATTTGGAGCTACATTCCCAGCGGCGGGAACTGGGTGATGAGCGACAGTGGCGCCGCCCTGTAGGCGAGGCTCCCAGGCCCGAAAGAGAGCTCCCGGGAACCCTTCGGGATCCATGATCCACCGTGAGCGCTCTCTCCTTCTATCCCTCTCTCTCTTTTCTTGCTTCTTGTGAATGGATAGATGAACCAAGATCTAGAATGGAGCTAGAGATTGGCTAAACACCACCTGGGAAGCGACAGTGTCCTACATTTCGCGGTGGCGGCCATGTCCATCGCATCGCCTCGTTGCTCAGTTCTACTTAGGGCTGTCACTCTCAACTTCGTTAGCGCTGCGGGCTTAAGGATAAAAGTTGCACTTACTAAAAATGTATTATTATTTTCAATATTTATTGTATATTCTTTTTAAAATTTAGTAAGACCTCTAAAAAATTTGATTAAAAATAACTTAATAAATCTAATATAAAATTATAAAATCATATTTAAGAGAGGTACTAATCACAATATTTAATTAAAAAGTGATATTGGGCTTTCACCACATTATAAACAAAATTGTAACTCATTGTTTTTAAATTGATGTTTTATAATAAAAAAAATTATAATATTTTTATGTGCATATATAGTATGTAAAGAAATTCATATATAAAGCTATATTTTTAATCAGATAAATTGTAGATTTTTTAAATTCTAAAATGCAAAACGAAAAACTCAATCATTTAAATAAATATAATCCACGAGAGCAAAGATTATATTATTCAGTGAATTTTTTGTTATTGTAAGTATATCATCTGAATAAAATATGAAGTTGCATTTCTTTACTTAATCAAATTTTATACTGGCTTTAAATAAAATTATTTTCATAAACATTAACTATGTTTTGTGCTTTTATGTAAACGTTGAGTTGGTTGCCCAGACCGCCTTGCGTTTCCTATTGTTATACACCACCACATTCCTATCTGCCTGAACGACAAGGCTGCACGCCACCACACACCTCTTGCACACCATAGTCTTTGTATCCCACAAAGCCTTCACAACATTCATCACCTTCCCATATATTACAAGGTTACAGTCAAGCTGCATCCTCAAGTAGCACGCCCTGGCCGCCAGGAATGTGCCACTCGCCCACACGGCTCTCTTAACATTATCCTTGATATCATACAGCACCAAGTTGCAATCCCCCTGCATGGTAAGCCGAAAGATTTTGTTGGGCGAGAAGAGCGAGAAACCAGCTCGGAGGGTGCTCGTTTTCCTCTTGGCGCTTCCACTTACAAGACCGCCTCTGAAAGGATGGCAGTCAGCAACGGGTGAGGATGAAAGATGGTAACCGCCGGGGATTTCCGGAGTAGAGTTGTCAGAGCTGCTGGATAGCCTATCGTCCACCGCGTCCTCCAGGGCATACTCGATGCCAAAGTTGCCTTCCACGCCTGTGTAGTAGCTATACCCCCAGTGCTCGATGTTTGCAACATTCTCATGCCTTTGAAAACCTGGACGATATCAGAGCCAACATGGGTTGGGCCAAGCAGCGGGGTGGTGCTGCAAGAATCGTCGCCAGAGTGGGCCGGATCGAAATACCACAGCCGGAGGTAGACTTTCTTGCCATTGTCGATCTCTTCAAGATCGTCGAATGCGTCTCCGGGCCGTACAACCGTCTCGTGGTAGAGCGTGTCGACGAGCTCGTAGAGGGCTGTGAGAATTCTCCCGCAACTCACCCTGCTGATCGTCCTGGGGGTGCCTCTGTCCACTGCGTCGAAGGGCTTCGCAGCTGGAAGAAGAAACCCAAACATCGCTACAAGAACTAAATGCAAAGCTACGCCTGGAGAATCCATCGATAGAATGTTGCCTGGTTTTGCTTGGATGGAGATGATCGAATGCCAGAGAGGCCTTGGTTAGCACGGACGTTCTTCGGGCTCGCCGCGCGCCACACTTGGGCGTTTGAAGAGGTTTCGCGACGGCGCGAGGTTCGAACCCGCGACCGGCCTTCCAGTCAACCTAGTAATCCAACGGTCAAGATTTGTTGAAAGATGGACTCGTGACAGGAGGAGCAGGGCTGCCGGCGCTCGGCGGCGGCGGCGCGCCAAAGCTCGGTAAGTTTTCTTCTAGCTCGGCTCGACATGGCGGCGGTCCTGGGGCGGCGATTAAGCTCCGCCAGACTTGTGGCCGGTCGATCGAGCTTGAGGCGATCGTTCGTGGGCGCTAGCGAGGTCGCCTACAACTGGGAGGATTTCCCCGAGGATGGAGTGCTGGACGAGAATGTGGGCTGCAAGAGCTGGCCCGGGATGCAGTGGGTCTTTCTGGGATGCCCCGGCGTCGGCAAAGGAACCTACGCGAGCCGGCTCGCGCTGGGTTTGCGCGTTCCTCACATCGCAATGGGCGATCTCGTGAGGCAGGAGTTGAAACGAGACTCTCCTTTGTCTAAAGAGGTACGATTGAGTTTAGTTTCACCCAATGTTCTAGCCTCGATCACTTGAATTCTAGTCGCTCCTAGTTCTCCAAGGCTTGTTGCGATTTTTGGCTCGTGTTCTTCCAAGTTCTTGATCATATATCGGTTCTAGTTTGTGTTTTCCAAGTTCTAGAGCACTTTTGCATGTGTCTTCCCAAGTTCTTGATGATATCTCGGTTCTAGTTTGTGTTTTCCAAGTTCTAGAACACTTTTGCATGGTTTCTTATTATGGCATCGTTTTGATCCAGCTCAAGGATTTAGTGAGCCGAGGGAAGCTGCTTCCGGACGAACTCGTTCTCGGCCTTTTGACCAAGAGGCTGGAAGAAGCGTCCGCAAATCAGGACGTTGGATTCATCTTGGATGGATTTCCTCGCACTGCCAGTCAAGCCGTGAGTTTTCTCCTCAGACCCTTCGCCAACTATGTAGCTCAAGTAGTCAAGCGTACGTAAAACTCGAGTGTTTGTCATTGCAGAAAACGCTGGACTCGATCGCGAGCATAACTCTGGTCGTCAACCTGCGACTGCGGGAGGACGTCCTGGTTGCAAAGTGCCTGGGGCGGAGGATTTGCAGCCAGTGTCACGGCAACTTCAATGTCGCCAACGTGGACGTCCCAGAAACCGAGACTCTCCCCCGGATCTTCATGCCGGCCATCTTGCCACCCCCGCGGTGCCTGAAGAAGATGACCATGAGAAGCGACGACACGGAAGAAGTGATCAGGGAAAGGGTCCGGATCTACTCCCAGGAGGTCTGTGCTCTAAGAACTCCATAGGATTGTGATTGATTCATCGTCTTGCTTGCAGTCGAGACCCGTGGAGGACTACTATAGAGCACAGGGGAAGCTGCTTGACTTTGAGATCCTTGGCGGGATCCCGGAGACTTGGCCTCGCCTTTTGAGCGCGCTCAATCTCCAGGGCAAGATCGCCAACACGTCCCTTGTCTCCGCCGAGAAACAAAAGATCGCCGCGTAGCCTTGTCCATTATTTATTGTGTTGGTCGTGTGCGAGAGAGAAGTGTGGATATAGATTGTATAGTTTTGCAATAATATATGGCAAAGTTTTGGAAGATTATAACGTCTTGGGGGTGTAGCTCAGATGGTAGAGCGCTCGCTTTGCATGCGAGAGGTACCGGGATCGATACCCGGCGTCTCCATTTATTTTACAAACATTTTTTCTTTGTAAATCAGAATTTAAAAATCAACTATAATAATGCCCTATAGTACGAGTCTTAAAACCAAAAAGCCAAATCCTAAAACTGAAAAATACACATGGTATAAAATATTATATGAAAGTAATGCACTGGTAAAACTATGTAGTAACATACATACTTTCACCATTGAATGACAGCAGCTAAATCTTGAGCGTGACGCACATCCCAGCTCTGTAAGAATGCCGCGCACAGCAAGATGCGAATTGCCCGCTTTGGGTATTGCCATTGCTACGATGGAGCTCCAGGCACACACTTGGTCCGGACACCGCATCATCCCTTGGAAGCCTCTGTTCATGAATGTGGGATTGATTCTAGTGATTCCCTCCCCGTATGTTTTACACACTCCATGAATGAAACACTCCCTCCATGAATACGACCAAAGACTGTCAATCCACCGCCAATCTTTCGCAATAAACAGCGTGAATGCTCAAAGTTGTGGGGTTCGCAATTGATTTGGAAAACAAGCATGCAATCACCCTCGCTTCCTCTGGACCATAGCACCCGAGGCGTCGTGGTGATTGCGGCCAAATTGGCGCTTCCAAGAGCAAGAGGCACAGGTGCAAGACAGGTTGCGGCTGAGATCCAAATGCCGCTGCACGACTTGATGATATCGATACCGCTGCTGCTGCAGCTGCGCCAAGGCCATCCTGTAGGTGTTGTTCATCTCGAGGAGCGACGCCATGCCCTTGGCGGCCGCGAGGGGATGGCTGCTGTTGCTGCTGCTCCAGTCGAATCCCTTACGTGGGTCATCCCTGGTTCGAAGCCCAAGCGCCTTATTGAAGTAGTACATCTCTCCCGCCTGCATTGACAAGAGTGAGTGACTGATATTTTGGAGAAAAATCTTCTAGAGCGGCAGTAACCTTGAGATCCAAGCATTGCTCCCAGCCTTCCGGCAGCGGCTGCGCTGAGAGGTGGAGGCTCACGTCCCGCATCGGCCAGCTGTTAAGGTTGCGCGCGCCATGAACGTCGAGCTGGAGATCACGGTCGGGAATGTTGACAGCAGCAGCATTGCGGTGGTCGTCGATCTTGCGCTTCCTGCTGCCGTTGATTACCTCGGCGCCAGCGCTGCTACTGCTCTCCTCGGTCGTGGCGGCGGCGGCGGGTGTTCTTACAAAGGAGGGCATCGGCTGGAAGCAGAAGGACGAAGGCGGCGCGAGTGACAGGCCCGCGTCTGTGAACTCGTGCTGGTTGAGGTGTAGAAGCTCCATGGATGGATTCGACGTCTCCAGCCGCCTGGAAAGAGAAAGATATAGAAAGAAAAACCGAGGAAGACGAATTGGAAGAGACAGCAATGCTTGCAAAACCTCTCTTTCTTTTGCGTTTCCTCTCGGAGCAACGCTTCGCGCTTTCCACATCCTTTTCTCTCCTCCTCTTTTCGTTCCGACACACGGGAATTCCTGCGCAGGAGTGGTTCCATGGAAAAGAAAGCGCCCGCCGCTCGCGGAGACGAGAGAATATCTAGAGGGGTAAGACTGCATGCCATCTTATCTTATAAACTCTCTCGGCAGGCGTCAACTTCATGAAGGGAGGCCCATTCTTGCATGGCGACGCGGTTGATTTTTCCCGTCACTTGAATTTCTAGTGCGCGGGTCCTCTCTCTCTCTATGAGGCAATCGCATTGCATTCGCGCGGCGAGCGCTCTCTCTCTCTCTCTCTTCTCTCTCTCTCGCCGCATTCTCTCGATTTCCAGCCTCATTTAAGCGAATGCAAATCTATGGTACGTATATATCGCGAGAGAGACGCACAGTTCTTGTTCTGGCGATCAACTAGAGTGGTCCTTCTCTCTTTATTTCTTTTTCTTTTCTTTTTTCGAGATTTCGCTATCAAGTCTTTACTCCTTGTGCTGTCTTGATGCGAGCCAATGGAACAGACTTGTCTTTCTGGTTGATGCTGATGCTGATCTTCCTTCTTCCTCCGAGTCTGGCAAGGATGGGCTGCTCAGGATCTCTCACGTCACTCGCGCTAGCTTGGACTTCATTTTTGTGTTTTTTGCTGCTCCGGGATTCGCGGGATGGATGGCGGTCCTGCGCAGCAAGAGTTAATGAGATTAGATCGCTACCAGGAGTTTTATAAAGATCTCTGGCCTTTTCCTGGCTCCGGACGGACGAGGACGAGGACGAGGACAACAAAGCATACAAGACACAAGGAGCAGTGGCAAAATCGCTTTGCTTTGCTTTGCTTTGCTTTTCTCTGAGCAAAGTGTACAAGAAACAAGAGAGATTTTAGTCCGCGCTAGCCGCGAGAAAAGAAGCCTACTCGAGAGAACTTTGGAAACTCACTGGGCTGGCTTCACTTGGGATTCTTGAGCACGATGATGACCGAGTCGCCGCGGAGGAACATCTTGCTGATGAACCGGTCCTTGTTCACGGGCTTGGCCTTCTTCTTCCCCTTGCCCGTCTTGGGCACCTCCGTCCACATCTCGCGGACGTTCTCCAGCACCATGTTGCAGTGGCGATCGAATGCCTTGACGCGCCCCAGCAGCTTCCTGTTGTTCCTACAGTTGATCAGCACCTGGGAAAGAAACGAAGACAAGCTTAGCGCCGAGAGAGAGAGAGAGAGAGAGAGAGAATTTCACCATAGTGATTCTAACCTGGGTATTTTGCTTGACGCTCGAAGTGAGAACCGAGAGAGGCCCGATGTTAAACTCCTCCTCCTTCTTTGTGTCCTCCTCCATCGCTCGCGCGCCACTGGAACACAGGCAAACACACAAAGCTGAGCTGCGCACAAGCAAGCGCTCGCTTACCTCATTCTTCCTTTCCCGCTCCCACGCGCCCTAACCCTAACGCTAACGCGAGTAGGATTCGAACCCCAGACCAGTACTCGAGAATGTGTGCTAGGATTCGAACCCTAGACCACTTAGTAAGATTCCGAAAATATGTTGGTAGCGCGAAAACTTTAGTACAAACAAACAGCCTCTCAAAACTTGAGCTCCTCTTCGTCTCCGGCGAGGCTGAATCCGTTGGCCGCGACAAAGTCCTCGAGCGACTTGGCCATGGACGCGCTGAATCCAAACAGCTCTTGCAGCCTTTGCTGCTTCTCCGCCGGAGGAGACGTCTTTACGTAGATGCAGTAGAGATCTTTCAGCTCGTCCTCCACTGCCCACGACAGCTTCTCTGATCTTACAAGCTTGTCGCACAGCAGAAGATTTGTAAGCTGAGACACCTGAAACAAGAACAAAACGTTGTCACGAATCTCACCAAGGAAACAGAAAAGAAGGGCTTTCGAGAGAACTTACCACTCCTGTCTCGTTCTTCTGCCTCAACAAGGCCACGGCTTGAATCAGCGAGCTCTTCAACCGTTGCTTGGTGAGATCGTCCACCATGCTCCGGCACTTCGCGGGATCGAGCTCCAGCTCCGCGGGCACGGAAGTATAGAACTTGTCCTCGTCGAACTCTCCCTTTCCGGACGAAAGCTCCCTGTCCACCAGGCTCCTATACATCTTCTCTCGTTGCTCCTTGGATATCATGCTGTCGATCTTCACGCCCGCATCCCGCATTTCCTTGATTTCCTCCACTTTGAGCTCGCCGCTCCTCACAGCAGCATCGATGGCTCCCGACATCTTTGTCGTTGCAATGTTGTGCACGACTTTTTGGAACGAATCGGATGGGAGGCCGAGCTGCTTTTGGACTTCAACGAGCTGTTCCATCTTCTGCGGCAAGAGCTTGCCATCTGCAAGGATCACCTCGGCCTGCTGCTTGAAAGCCTGCTCTGCCAGCCCCTTGTGAACGGTGCCGATTTCCATCGGTGTGAGGCCAAGGATGATTCCCAGTTCACCAAGCCTTTCGAATTCGCTGCTGTCTCGTTGTACCACGATCGAGGACCCAAACGGCATGTGAGTCGTTTCTCCGGTGAGGCAGTATATCAGGTAGAGCCGATATAGATCCGTTCGATCCCTGGCTGGAAGGTCGTCACGCAGAGTTATCTCTTTCTGTGGCTCTTTTCCACTTGTCTCCCTGGTCTGGTCCGGTTTCGTCTTTCTGAGAGACTGTAGCATTTCCAGGCCATCGTCAATGTAATCGACTTCCTCCACTTTTTTCTCTTCCACGAACTCAGCCTTGACGACGTTGGGATCCTGTTTTATATCGTCCACCAGCTCAGTGACCACAAGGTTGTTGAAGAGGATCATTTTCTTCAGCTCTCTTGCCGACTCGGTCCGGTTGTCTGCTGTTCTTGACCTCTTCACATACGTCATGAACATAGTACGAACCTGCATTCAGCCAATTCAGTAACAATCTAGAAATTAAAGATTCTGCGTGACAGTACCGCTTTGCTTGCGATATCCATAGCCGCTTTTTGGCTTAAACGAAGGCCTTTAATGGCTGCCCGAACAGTGGCTGTCGTCTCTGGATCGTAGCCATCAACTCCCGAAGCAATGGCAGTATTGACGACCTGAGAGAGGAATTTTTAGTAAGAAAAGTACACGAAGGGAAGTATGAATACCTTTGCAAAAATACGGCCACAGATGTCTGCATGGGCAGTCTCAACAGTTTCCTGAGGAATGCACAGAAGAACACGCAGTCGCAGCAACGCTGAAATATCCTCGTCACTCAAACTACCGTCAGCCACGCATTGCTCAAGTTTTTGCCTGTATATTTCTGGAAATGAAACGAGAATTAAGTCAACAAGATGACTCCGATAGAAATTTACAAACCTTCGTGCACTTTGCTTGCCTTCGCAGGATCAAATTGAAGACTATTACAGAGATTCTGTAAGAAAGTTGCCTTGCTGGTTGCGGCATCAAGATCGCCGTCTGTAACTGCTAGTGATAGCCGTCGGCGATAGACTTTCGTTGTGATATCCAGCATGATATCGTCGGCCTCGCGATTTCCAATGCCAAATGTGTTTTTCAGCTGAGCCAGCAAGGGCAGCTACAATAAAAATAAAACGTTATTGCTTAAGATGGGATCGTCTGTAACCGAGCGAGTCATACCTTCTCTTTGAGCAATTGACCATTTGATACTACAGCTTCACTCAAATATGTTCGATACAGCAGTTTAAGGTCATCCATTGCCCGATCGCTGTCATAGACACCTCCTGATCCATGAAAAGTGTAAGAAACAAAGAATAGTGTAGGCACTCAAACCTATGACCGATGCTGGGCCCACGCCTGGTACCAAGCTTGAAGAATCGGCATCCTTAGCAAGGGCGGACAGTAAATCATTGTATGCTAGCATGCTTTCTAGCTCCATCACCAATTTTTTCGTATCCCTGGAAACAGGTTATAAGTAACTTAGTCTGAATTTAGTCTGAACAGAGAATCATTAAAACTTACTTGATTCTGGTTCGAGCTTTCAAGACCTCCAAAGCTCGAGAAATGTATCCTTCAAGAAGCTTTTGAGTGTGCGACTTGAAAAGGGAACTCGTAATCTACTACAAACAGATCAGAACTATATTTCTTAGTGTACGCAAGTGTTACCTCGTCAGAGAGCTGGACTTTGAGCTGGATTCGCCGCAGTTCTTTCAGTTGGTCAATATTAACATCTATAGCAAGCGAAGTAATTAGAACAAAAATATACAAGTTCTATATGAAGAATACTTGCCTGTCCCAATTGAGCTTAGCTTTGTCGCAAATAGCCTCTGAGCATTGTCTCGAACTGCTATCTCAACCTTTGTACACAACATGAGTCAGAGCAGTGTACACACAAAATCCAAAACGAACCTGAGAATCGGTAACTTTGAAAACCCGCTTCCAAGGTAGCAAAAACTTCGAGGCCTCGCCAAAAACAAGATTCGAAACGTATACAAGCTTTTGGAATGCCTGAAAATTAGACAGCGTCAGCATCGCAGGAAATATTCAAGCAGAAGAAATCTTACCCGAAGTTCTTCAACAGCAGTGTCTCTATCACCAGTTTCAAGTCGTTGCCTGACAATTCGCCTGCATATCTAGAGGCAAGAAAAGCTGAGACAACCGGCAACCGGAGACCCAAGCGATTTTACCTCAATGTGAACAGCAGCAGCATCCGGATCGTCTAATCCCAAAGCCTCCTTGAACTTCCGAATCGTCGCGGCCTCATCGCCTTTGAGATCCTCGTTGCCAGGAGGAATAACAGAGCTCACAAAACTATCGTACAGATTGCGAAGCTCGGTATTAAACTTCTCATTCGTTTTGTTGATCCCAAACCTGAGCGAGCAAAGAAGAATCGAAGTCATCAAGATGAAAGAGCGAAACGAAAAAAGCATACTTTTTGAGAATCCCCTCGATTTCTTCCCCTCGCAGAGACCTTGGATCGGGATGATTGACGAGTAGATTGTGCACCTGCGCTGCCGCTACATCGGGAGCCATGGAATTCACGACAAACGCTGTAGCTCCTCCAACAGCGCCCAGGGCGATTGCCCCGGCCAATGCAGCGTTGGGAGTGCCTTTGGCTTGGCTTCCCACTGCATAGCCAGCCATGAGAGCTCCAGCAACAATCGCCGTGCACGTCACATACCTCGTCGGGGCAGGCATGCCTTCGAGCAGCTTCTTGGGCCCCGACAGCCGCTTCTCACTCCCGAAAACATTCGATTTCTCCGCGGCCGATGCCGAGGAGGAGGAGGAGGAGGAGGAGGAAGCAACAGACCCGGAGATTCTAGCTCGCAATATCCTCCTGCGAGAAGAAATGTGAGCCCTGTGCAGCTGCCGCGACGCGAAGAATCCACTATCGACGCTGCCGGGCGCTAATCTGGCGTGCCGGCGGCATCCGGCCGAGAGACACGGCGTCGGGAGCATTGCTCTTGCCCTGATAAACCCTAATTCATCGAGAGTGAATATTCCAAGGGATTTAGGCCGCTTGTAATGAGGATATTCTTGAAAATTTAGGGCTCTTTGTTCGTTTCCCATGGACCAATCTCCAATGGACCGCGGTGTGAGAATGCTGGCATCTATCATGGAGAATCGGGCAATGACGCAGGGATGGAAGGATCGCATCCCTCGTCTGGATCGTCTCAAGATGCTGCCGCTCCGGGAAGTGATCAGGGAATTCAAGGATCGCTTTGAGCAGCAGCAGCAGCCCGGGAAAGATCGGGCGAAATGCCGGAAGCTCAAGTGCTACGAGGGCTATGGCGTCGCAGGATTCCTTGGAGCCGATCCCGCGCGATCCGGGCACACTGTCGTCTCCGCGATCGAGGCCTGCGACGGCTGTGTCATCTTCATCGTGATCTTCAATGCCGTGACGTCGGATTCCAGCGCTGGCCAGGTTTGCTCCTTGTTTCCCAGGGATGTGGAGGTCGTGCTCAAAGAGCCGGTCCTCTCCACCGTGGAAGGATCGCATTTCCCGCTGCTCTTCGTCCAGTCGCCACTGTCGGTGGAGATCGTCGAGGCGAGGAAGAATCTATTCTCCAGGAAGGAGGAAGCTCGAGAGATCAGGCTCAAAGGCAACGAGTTCTTCGCGGCTGGGAGCTACGTCCTTGCGAGGCTGTGCTACGATGCTTCCATCGCAAGGAGCTCCAAGAAGATCACCAGGAAGCGCGACGACGAGGAGTTTGTGCTCGCGTCGTCCAACCGGGCGGAAGTTTTTCTGCGGTGCCAGAGGTACGAGGAAGCCATAGCCGATTGCAACCAGGTCCTGGGCATCGATCCACGGCATCCCAAGTGCCTTTACAGGAAAGCAATGGCGCTCTCTGCGCTCCAGCAGCACCGGCAAGCTCTGGAACTGCTCAACAAGGCCTTGACTGAGGATCATTCTTCTTCTTCTTCGCCTTCCGGAAAGGTGGCGATCAAGTCCGCCATCTCTCGATGCTCCAAGCTGCTCAAGCAGTCCGAGAGTGGAGTCTACGATCTGGAAGAGTTTCTTCTCAGCTCCTGCCGCCAGGATCTAGCTCCCGAGTGTGCCGACTTCGTCGGACCTGTGGAGATTCGGATGACTGGAGACGGGCGTGGAAGGGGAGTGTTTGTGACTCGGCGAGTCGACTGCGGAGAGCTCCTCCTCGTCGCGAATCCCATCGTCTACGTCCCCAACCTGGACAGGAAGCTGAGCGAGGCGGAGCTGCAGGGAAACTTGGTGGTGGAGACCGTCCGGGTTGGAAACTCCAGCACCCGGGCTTTGAAGCAGATGGACGCGCTGGCGATTCATCACAACATGACCGGAGTTCCCAAGCTGGCGAACTTCGGTAGCAACAGCGAGCTCGATACAAAGGAGCAGGCGAGCTCCATCTCTCCAGCCAGGGCGAGACAGATTATCAAGATGTCGTCGTTCGGGCCCAGGCTTGGTGGCGACGTTCCGAAGTTCGCCGGCATCTGGGGACTTCCAGGATTGATCAATCACTCGTGCCTGCCAAACGTCGCCTCGGACGTGTTTGGCCGAGCCATGATGATCCGAGCAGCCAGAGATCTCGAGGCTGGCGAGGAGATCGTTCTGTGCTATGTCGAGTGCCTGGCATCGTGGTGGGAGCACCGGAGGGACGAGTGTTTCATCGACTGGAGATTCACCTGCAAGTGCAAGCGGTGCGAACTGGAGAGCAGGCATCACGAGCAACTCAAGACGGTTTCGCTCCAGCAGGTGGACGTGATCGACAAGTCGCTGGAGCTCCTGGCGATGGCTGCGCAGGTCTCGCAGCTGGAACAGGTGCTGGACAAGCTCGACATCGCCGAGCTCGAGAAAGTGTGGATACGCGCCGGGGGAGCCGAGCTCTACTGCAACTACGCGATCAACGAGCTGGGGTCCTTCCACGGCAACGTGTTCGTCGGGCACGTCCGGGTGATGGAGATGCTGCAGTTCACGGCCCCGGGATGGTTCAAGACGAGATTTCTCCTGGCTCGGCTGTTCTTGACGTGCCCCGAGCGAGACAAGGAGAGGGCGATGAAGATCCTGGTGAGAGGTATCACCGCGGCATATGGGAAGCTCCAGGTGAAGACGCTGCTCCACATAGCCGAGGCGTTTGGGACGGACGAAGGGGTGAAGAGGATGATGGGAGTTTAGACGAAGGGGTTTAACGCTAAAGGAGGCGGGGGTATAGGGTTTTGATGAGGTTATGGCGCTTCTTCGTCGGCTGGTGAGGAGTGGTGGGTTCTTGGGCCTGACGAGGAACAGCAACACCGAATGCGGCATTGGAGTCTCCTTGAGGTATGCGTCCTCGGATTCCAAGAAGCCAGGTGACAAGCAAAAGGCTCCCGGATCATCGAAGAAAGAGGAGAAAGCCGGATCAAAGAAGGAAGAGAAAGCAGCACCAGCAGTCGCAGCGAAGGCCAGTGTAGAAGATGCCACTGTCGGCTATGCGAAGAAAGCTCCCGGATCGAAGCAGGAAGAGAAAGCAGCGTCGCCAACATCTGAAAGTGGCTCTGCCAAGAAAACTTCTGCGAAGGCTTCCAAGGATGCTGGGACCAAAGATGCTGGGAAACAAGCTCTAGAGGATGACAAAGTTCCTCAAACGGCTTCAGCAGCTAGCGAGGGGGATGTAGCTCCGCCAGCCCAGTCGACACCAGCTCCCAGCGAGAGTTTGGACGAGGTGGCGTATCCCAAGCGACGCACAATGCCGCTCCCGGAAGATAGGCCAGCTCCGGAGGTCGAGGAGGTCGAGGCCCAGGCAGCTCCAGCAGTGAGAAAAGCTCCACCAAGGAGACCTTATATGCCATCACAAATGGCCTACGACTACACGCTCCCTCTACCGAAGATCATCAAGGAGACGGCGACGAAGGAGAAGAAGGAACTTGTCAGCCTGGGAGAAGCCATTCGACTTGTCAAGGTACCGTGATGTTAAGTTTTAAGTTCATTCGGTCTGATCTTTCTTTCTTCGTTTTTTTCTTTTTCTTTAGAAATCCGCTCACTGCAGATTCGTCGAAACAGTGGAAGTACACATCCAGTTGGGAGTCGACCCGAAACGGTCTGATCAGGTCGGACGATTTTGTAGTGCATCGGAGTTCCTGTTATGACTGTATTGTTTTTCTCTTTTTTTGGCTGCAGATAGTCCGTGGTGCCGTGACGCTTCCCTACGGGAGTGGAAAGGTGAGACTTGGTGCATTTGTTTCCTCTTCAGCATCATGCGATTTATGTGAAGGTGGATCGTAGCGTAGGTTGTCAAAGTCGCTGTTTTTGCTGACGGGCTGGCGGCGGAAGAGGCATTAGCGGCTGGAGCGGACGTCGTTGGAACTGACGATCTGGTTGAGAAAGTTCTTGCCAGTAAGCGATCGTTTAGCTTTATTCCGCTTCTCTTTTTCGCTAAGGTCCCGGACTTACAGGTGGAGGAAAACTTGACTTCCACAAATGTATTGCCATCCCCTCCATAATGCCAAAGCTCGGAAAGGTAATCGTTTTCCTCATGCTATTCCTTACTACGAAGTGAACCACTCGTAGATTGCGCGTATACTGGGACCGCGAGGCATGATGCCAAATCCCAAGGTAGGGAGAAAAAGCTGAGCTTTTACTCTAACAAGAGCGTTGTTCGCTACTTCAGACGGGGACCGTGACTGTTATGGTAGCCGATGCGGTGAGGGCCGCAAAGCAGGGACGTGTCGACTTTCGAGCAGACAAAACCGCTATCATTCATGCCGGGCTCGGAAAGGTAGCGAGAAACTCTTTGTATTTTGCTCGACTCATCCACTTGACACTTCAAACTCACAGGTCAATTTTCCGGACGAGCACCTGTTCCAAAACATCGCCGCGTTCTCGGCAGCAGTTCTTGGTGCGAAACCAGCAGGATTCAAGAAAAGTAAGCGTCGTATACTTTTTAATCCACAAACTCAACGGAATGCTGTGATGCAGGCTCCAGGTATACTGGTTTCTTTGACAAGTTCTACCTCTCGTCCACGGTGAGTTCTCTAATTTTCTCAAGGGACAGCTTGACGATCTCGCTCGCTGGCTGCAAAATTTGCAGATGGGACCCGGCGTACCAGTGACGATCCAATCGGTGGCAACAGCATCAGACAACTATATAAAATCGCAAGCCGCCGCAGAGGCAGCCTAGCGAGTTCCTTTTCTTTGATTTCCTTTTTGTTTGATCCACTCGAGCACGCTACCGCAGCTGTCGCAAGTCGGATCATTTTGCTACTACATGCCATGCTTACACAAATTTCTAAAACCTTAAGCATGAACTCCAGATATTCTTACTCTTTCCTGAACACCTTCCTACGCTCGGTATGGTCTTTGAAGCGTATGAGCGTGTAGAGACCACCTCCAATCTGAGCTCCCACCACCGGTCCAACGAAATAGATCCACAATGCTCTGAAGTCTCTAGCCGCCACCGCCGGCCCAAGCGTTCGCACGGGGTTCATGGAAGCTCCAGAGACATAGCTGCATTGCAAGTATATAAGCTCGCCATAGCCAACAAACACGCGCTTCTTACGTACCCCCCAAGCAAAATGTCCAAGTAGACAGCCAGGCCAACGGCGATTCCAGCCAACTCTCCAACCTGGTTGTAGCGTAAGAAACCATAGAAGCTTGCAAGCAACAGATATGTTCTTACTGCTCGTGTGTCAGTGGCGACGCTGGTGATGACAAACATGAGGACCGCCGTGAGAACAATCTCAAAGAGGAGCGACTGGAGCGTTGACCCGGCTGGAACAGTGACGCCGGTTGCCAGGTGATCGGGATTATACATCCCTTTGAGGAGGAAAGCACAAGCCAGGGATCCAGCCAATTGCGCCACTATGTAGAGAGGCACCTTCAAAGAGCCACCATCTTTGATCATACCAAAGGAGAGACGAAAAGCTTGATTTTTACCTGGATCCATGAGAAATGCCTGAATGTGGCGAAGGCAAGAGTGACTGCCGGGTTGATGTGAGCGCCCGAGATGTGTCCCGTGGACATGATGACAATCGCCACTGCAATCGCGGATCCTCCCGCCAGGCCGTGAATTCCCAGCGCTCCATTCGTTTGCGTGTTGATAATGGCGCTCCCAGCTCCTCCGAGCAAGAGGACCACGCTGCCCAGGAACTCACACAGGAGCTATACCAATAAGAGATCGCTTAGATCCCCTCGAGCGACAAGATCAATGAAGCCTGTTCTTCTTGCTTACCTTCTTTGAGATTGTAAAGCTGGGACTGTATCCACTCACGGGCTCCAAACTTGTCCCCGCCTCTTCGTCGTTTTGGATCAGAGCGTAATCCGTCGATCCAGACCCCATGCTTGCGATGGATCGCTCAATTATACTCCACCAATTTATCATGGCCTTCCTTTTTTCTTTTAAATTTAGAAAAAGAAAAAGAGTATATACAGCTGGCCGTCTGCTAGCTAAAGGTGACCAAACTTTTTGGAACATGCAAGCATGTTATCAAATCCAAAACGAAGCTTCGGCCTCCATGCACAGTAAGAACAGAAATTATAATTATGTAAGGGATCTTGGCAAAGGTGTCCTTTTGATTAGTTTCTACAAATCGACCAATCTGAGCTTGACAATCTAGAGGTGGATTCGCTCACAATCTCTCGTCCATCACAACCTCTCAGAGTAGTCCCCATGCATGCTCCAAAATCATACCGATCGGGCATATGCACCAAATCTTTGCTACCAATCCCATCCAAAACCGACCTTGCAGGCGCTCTAACGAGAGCCATCACATCGAATGCATCCTATTTTATCCCAGAATGCAGCCACTGCGCTCGAGAGAAGCTAATCCATTGCGTTGACGATTGCCACGCCTCGAGCTCCAGCTCGCAGACACATTCTGCCCACTCTGCTGCGAGCATGATCGTCCCGGAGAAAACATTGGAATCCTCGCTCCCGTCAAGAACTTCCGGGCTAGAGCACCACATTTTCCATACATGTTGACGAGGAGGTTTTTCAAACTTCCCATTCTATACTCCATGGAGTGGCTACGGATTCGTTTCCAGAGCACCCCATTGACGCAACACTGCAGTTATCCTGGCACGATTTGGGGGGAAAAAGAAATTCACAATTGGTTGACGAAACCAGAAAACAGAAAAATGTAGCTGTATAATCCTCTCTCACAGATTAGGGAGTTTGTCCAGCAAATGGTTATTTGCAGGTCGCTAATGGCAACATCCAGCCTATGATGTCGATTTGCTAGCATTCACGAGGAATCCACTGACGATGTCCCTGCTCATGGAGTCAAAGAGACCAAAGGGCTCGCCACTGCTTATTGCAAATGAGGCCCACAGGTTTCCTTTTCTTTCTCTAAGCTCGATTCTTAAAACTGTTTTGTTGGTTTGATTCACGTCTTCAGTTGCTGGCCAAGAGCACTGAAACTTGGATCGTGCTCCCACAAAGTTCTTGCAAGATGAATGAACTAGTTAATTGTAAGTCTTCATCTTCTTCTCGCTTTTCCTTGTTCCAGATAGAAGTTTGACGTCTTTCTTCACAGAGAAAGAAGAAGCAATATACTCAAAGCTCTCTTTCTTAAACCACTACCTCTTCGTGTTGGATCCTGACCGATGGTCTCAGTGGTTCTACTCCAGATACTCGTCAAGAGTGTGAGAGAGGCATTCCAAACATTGCATCTGTCTCACTCCCAATCACCATTGGCCTGTGTATGGCAATTGATTTGGAACAGGGTGCCCATGGCCAAATGAATGGTTTATCTGGTTTTATGAATGTATATTATGATTTTTTATGTTTGCAATAAAATTTATACCTTACAACACAAATGACATATTGAGTTTAGCTGATTGATAAATTTGACCATCCTTTATAGTGCCCTAAAGACCTTTAGATAGTTGGAACTATATGTTGTCTACCCTAGGAGAAATTCAAGACCTAAAAACAATCTAAAGAAGAAAAAAAATGTGAAGAAAAATTAAATTTATAACTCTTTTTACTTTTTAGATTTTAAGTGCAATTCTTTTATTTTTAGTGTAGCATAGGATAAGATTTGAATATACTGTCACTATAAATCTTTAGAACATTAGGGGATAAATAGGAATAAAATAACCAATAAACACTTGTTATGATCTAGCATGAAAAGACAAAAATCTAATACATTACACCTCTTTAAGATTCTTCACCACCCAACCATCCCTTAAGTTACCTCAAAAGCTCCATTATGCCACTCAATCCTTCCCCCCCATCCCAAAAATTAATTATATTAGTGATCACCCTTTTTGAGGAATTTTGTTTAAACTCTTAGTCTATCATTCACAATCGTATACATCAAAGAGGCATTAGGACTTTCATTTCGAGATAATACACTCTTCAATTGGCTCACATAAAATATCAAATGAATTTTCACCCAATTAGCAACTGCACCCAATAAATCACCTTACTAATGTGCTTTAGCACTTCATATGGACTAACATATCGATGAGAAAATTTATCACTCTTCTCATTCCACAAAAGCACTAAGGTGTTTTATTATGTATTTGATGGAAAAATCATTTACACAAAGATGAGATCACCCACTTTATATTCCTGGAATTAACAATGCTCATTAGCAAAATTCTCCATTGTATTTTGAGTTGCTTGCAAATTTTATTTGCGCATCACTAGAATCTCATCAAGTTCTATAGCTAGATCATTTGCCTTTGAGTCAAATTTATCTTGAACATCCTTACCCAAATGCAATTCTAACTCCACAACTGTTCAGGAATGCTTTCTAAATATGGTAAAGTAAGGATTTAACTTAGTTTCACTGTATTGGCTATTATTGTAAGCAAATTGCACCAATAAAAACTATAAATCCCATTGTCCTTGCATTTAACCAATGTTATAGTATAAAATATCTTCCACTACCTAATTTACAAGTTGCCTATTTATTTAAGGATGACCTTTACTCAAAAAGTTTCAAAATCAATTGCATAGCCTTTACAAAGTTCTTCTAAAATCCACTTGTGAACTTTGAATCTCAATCACTAATGATGTCTTTCGGCAAACAACAATCAAGAAAAACCTTCTTTAAGTAGACTGCAGCCAAGTCTAAAGCAATGACAATCTTTCAAAGAAAATGGTGTAAACAATCAAAGGAAACAACTCGAGAAATGATCTATAAAAGTTTAAATATAGAGAGAAAGGGCCCATGAATAAAAATGCTTTTTTCTAATCGGTTAAGATCTTAGGATATTTGGGATTAAGCATCCTTGGATTTGAATAATACTAGGCTGGATAACCTTTTATGAAGTTTAAATTCAAGCGTTTACATTTAGTATCAAAGAAATCACGGGTCTGACTTTGTTGGTTGGCTAAGGGAATCACACCATATGTTGATTGATATCTAGCAGGCCCAATTTGCTCCGGTTAGACTTGACTTGAGGAGTAGGGTGTCAAGAAACCGAGGCTCTCAAGTCCATCCATTATCATATATAAGCAATGGTCTAAACACTTATTCCTATATTCAAGCACTCACATTAGTGGTGAAGGGTATTGCAATTTGTCCCTAGAGGGCAAAACTTTTTAACAATGCTTTGCTCTAGTGTTTAAGATTAGGGCATAACTTACAGAGAAGCATAGTGAATTGTAAACAACTAAAGAGAACAACTCAAAAAACAATTCATAAAGATTCAAATATAAAAGGAAAGCTTATGAATAGGAATGCACCCCTTTTTCCAATTAGTTAAGCATAAGGATACTTGGGGTTAAACATTTTTGTAGTTTTGGAGGCAATCAATGCTCTGATTCTCTTCTCAGCGTTAACCAGGATCATATGAAGGTCGGCCATATGATGGCCCATATCACTTTCAGATGTGGCACGGGATCGTCGACAACAACTCTGAAAAAATATCACACAAGAAAAGAAAAGGAGAAAAGGTTCAGCTTCCAGCCATCTTCACGATGGAAATAAAAGCAAGGCACTCGCCACTCGGTTGGATTCGCTTTTAGGCTTATTGATCTTCACCAGCTGAAATTTCTGGTAAGTTGAAAACGGAGTGTAATCGAACTGAGCATCTTCGCAGGAGACGAGTGGAATCAAACTTGACAGTTTGTCTTTAACCGACTCGGGACGAGGCGTCCCCAGATTCTCCAAACAAAGCCGACATGAGGGCACATACAACTATGGAATCTCTTCAGGCAAAAGTACCAAAAGTTCTTGTCCATTTGAGTTCAGTGATTTTGGAGTCATCTGGTCGATGTAAAGGACACCCTGTGCGAACAAATACCACGGCCACCTTGATGTTTCCACAGAAAAAACAACAAACGAGACATTACCTCCAGGTGATCATACTCATGTCGGAAAATTCCAGCAGTCCAGCCCCTGAAGGCAGTACCAAATTTCTTCCCGTTGATGTCTTGAGCTTTCAACTCGGATCGATATCGGTCTCTGGAAACAAAGACGCAAGCTATAAAAGAGAATCTCTATGTATAAAGGAATAGTAGGCTTGAGCGCCGTAAAAAGGTAGGCATCCTTCTAGAGTATCAGCTTCTCGCTCTTTCCCAAACTTGACAATCATTGGATTCACGAAAACGTACTCTTTGCCTTTGCCTCTTTCACCCTCGGGATTAAAGACCATGAGCCTGGCATTGACGCCTACTTGTGGAGCGGACAAGCCTACTCCATCTCTCCTGGCAAAAATGAAAAGAAAGACAAGAAAACAAGGCATGCCAACGTTGGACAGTGATGAAATTCGCAAGGAACATACCTGTACGTCACGTCCAGCATAAGCTTCTTGACCTTATCATCGAAGGAACTGATGCGGATGTTCCTCGCGCGGAGCTTGGGATCGGCATACAAGACAATGCTGAGATTGGAATTGAATTCCACAGGGCCAGCTGCGAGGAAACAAGAAAATCAGGAGACAAGAACCCTATACCACGCAATCTCACCGCTCGCCGCAAGATCGGTGAGTTCTTCATGCAATGCATGCGCTTTTCCTTGGAAATTTCGGGCTTTTGATCGATCCCCACTGCGAGGCCGCGCTAGAAATGCCGTGCCATGGCGTCGGCGGCCACCGATGCGGCTCCAAAGCGCGAGACCGATCCGAAGAAGGGAATGGGACTCGTCTCGCTGTTTGGAAACGATGTGGACACGTACTACGACAAGCTCCTGGATGGGCAGAGTGGAGTCGGGCTGATCGATCGCTTCGATGCCTCCCAGTGACCTACCAAGTTTGCGGCACAGATTCGTGACTTCTCGGCGAAAGGCTACATTGATGGCAAGAACGATCGCCGGCTGGATGACTGCCTTAGGTACGGAATCGTTGGTGGTAAGAGAGCTCTGGAGCACGCTGATCTTGGACGAGACAAGCTCGACAAGGTAGCAAACCTCTCTCTTTTGTTCTTGTTTTCTAAAGGAGCAATTTTATTTACCAGGTTGACAAGCAAAGAGTGGGCGTACTCATTGGCTCCGGAATGGGAGGGCTCCCAGTTTTCTCTGATGGAGTCCAGTCGCTGATCGAGAAGGAATATAGACGGATCACTCCGTTTTTCATTCCTTACTCGATTACCAACATGGCGTCGGCATTGCTGACTATAGAGCTGGGACTTACGGGACCAAACTACTCGATTTCTACTGCCTGTGCCACCTCGAATTACTGCTCTATGCGGCAGCAAACTCTATTCGTAGAGGTGAAGCTGACATGATGGTGGTCATTCCAGTCAGCTTGGGTGGCTTTGTAACTCCAATCCACAGACTGCATCGAGGCCGTGGGACAAAGGCCGAGAAGGATTTGTGATGGGTGAAGGCTCTGAGTTATCTATTTATTCCATAATGTATAATTAAAATAAAAAGAAGTTAAATTATACATTAAAAATGAATTTTAAATCAAATTTAGACTTATTTTTATACATAGAAGAAAATTAAAAATGAATAACTTTTTTAATTATGATATTATAACTTATAAGCCACTAGCTATATGAGAGATTGGTTTATATTTATATTTATTAATATTATATAGCCTAGACTTGAGTAGTTTTTTTTTTTTAAAATATTTTGTTTAAAATATAAAAATTTTTACCAATGTATTACCATATGGCTCTTGTAAGCTTGGGTTTAGATGGCATGGCTAATATTCACTATTCAATCCATTTCTCTGAAAACCATGGGATTGAATATTTGAATCAATGTTGTTTGACAGTCATCAAAAACATTTATCAGATGTACTCTATTTCTTTAACTACAGCTCTAACTCTACAATATCTTTCTACTCCAAGATTGCCACTTGTGCAAGGAGTACTTCCAAGTTGATGCAACAAGCAGTCCATCTTCTATAAGCTAGAGATTGACATTTGAGGCCATGTGGACAATTAAAACTATTAAATATATCTATATTAGAATAATTTTTGGGACAAAACCAACAGCTTTATTTATGAAGAGTATGGGAATTTTTGAGCATATGGTGCTAAAAGTGAATTCAAGGTTTTGTATGACATCCCCACTAATTGAAAATAACATGGTTAAAACTTCATAAGAGGTGCGAACTAATTTTTGGTATGATTTTTACTTAGCTTTTTTTTTTCTACAGATCATTCTTCAAAAGTATGAATTTGAAACTAATAGGCTACTACCATTAGAAAGTCTAAAGAAGATCTTAGGATCTTACTTTGCTACACCATAAATAACACAAAAATAAATTTGTTTTGTGCCCTTACAATTTATAGCCTTAGAGTTATGGAAACAAAAAAAAAAAAAAAAAACAGGATCCTTAGCTTATGTTTAAAAAAAAACTAAAATCTTGTTAGCCATTGAATGCCAGTGATTACAAAATGTAGAGTTATGTTTGGTTTGGAAGAGGGATCTTTAATGCCAACACAAATAAAATTTGAATAATCTAAGTATGTTAAAACTATATAGTTTTTATTATGTTTTTTGTTTGCTTAAGCAGTGTAGAATAATTTTACTTCTCAGAAAATTTATATTATTGAGACTTGAGTAGTATAAGAATTCTAATTACAATGTTCAAGGCACTTTGTTTCTTTCTTTTTTCTTAAATATCACGTCTTTAGAGGTAGGATAGATGTACTAGATGGTATATTCTGATTTTATGCGTTCTAATCATCTTCCCAGCCTCCAGGCCATGGAGCGCTTCACCAACCAGATGATCCTGCCAAGCGCGTCCACATAATTGACTATGGGGTCCTCTATGGCGATCAATGGCCATCGCTCATCATCATATATACATTCTTCCTATTGGGAGTTTGCTGAGGGAAGTTTACATTCTCTCTCACTACAATGTTTTTTGGTGGTGTTTCTATATAATTTTAGATATGGTTTCACATTAATTTCCAGAAGTATTTTCTGACAACAATAAAGCAATATAAATTTTAGTTGAAGACATAGTAGAACTTTAAGAAAGGCTTGCCCATATTGTGGAGGTTACATTAATGCAAATTATATAGATCAAATTGTGAAGAGCATTAATAATGTTCCAAAAACTTCATACTTGAAAGATCCATCTTGCAATTTTTGGTGAATAATATTAAATTTTTTGTTTACTTACATAGGCAAGTAAACACTTTCAACAATGGATGAGTTAAAGACATTGCAGCTTGATATTGGATAATATGGGCTTATAATAAACTGGGTAGATTTGATGGTTGGCTGTGACATGAATAATTTGATCAAACTATAATCTATATGAATAATTATATAGCATATAACTCTAGAAAACTATTTGGATAACAATGTTTCAGTGAAAAATAAAAAACTATACACTATCTAGGCTATAAGAAAATTATGTGAAAAAGCCATATGAAAATGTATTAGTGCACTAGAGTAAAAATAACCATATAAAAATTTATACATAATGCTAAAATTATTTTTAAAAAACAACCGGCATGGGAAAAGCCGTGTTTGATCGCTTCGTGGAGTCTGGACAGTGGCTCCAGTGACTTGGCTTGTTACATCCTCATGGTCAAGCTCTATTGCAGTGCAGGCCTGTGGAAGGAGCAATCGCTCGTTTTGCAAACCATGGCAGCCAAGTTTGGCATTTCCTGGATTGTCAATGGACAAGCAAACAGGTGGCATTGTAGTGGCTACACTCGGCAGTGCAGCGTGGGAGTAGAGAGAAGATCGAGCTCAAGAGACCGCGAAAAGATCTTTACATATACTTCTAGCACAGCTATCAAAAATTGGAAAACCTGAAAACACCGACATTTCTCAAGTGCTTATCGTTGGCTGGATCAATCTGATGGTTCTCCACCCAAACGAAACCATCTATTTCCAGGATTCCGTAATACCAGTCATCCTTGTCACCGGCCTAGAAGACGATATGCTCATGATCCAAGTGACTAACTATTCTTACCATGATGGTCACTGGCGGTCTGTAGCTCTTCGGATGCGCTGCTGTCTCCAGGAGTTCCTGTATGGCGAACATAGCGGGCTGGTAAAGATTCTCGACTCCCGCGTTGCTTTTGAAATCCAACGTCACCTTGAGCCGCAGGCCACGAAGCGTGTAGCGTTTAGTGTACACGTATGGGAAGGTTTTCCGCGTCAACCAGGGTCACGTGTCTTTCTTGTCAGCCTCATACTGGAGCACAAAGTCCGCTTTTTTGTCAGATGGCGATGACGGGGGCTCCTTTTCAAGTTCGCGGGGCCTTGTAAAGCGGCCAAGGTTCCGTAGCATCCTGTCCAGTATCGGTGCGACCTGCATCTCTCCTTTGCAATCACCTTGGAACGCAGTCGAGTAGGCCACATCGTTGGCGATGAGCTTGTTGACGCAATGAAGAGTTTCGCCTGAGATCTCCACGGCACCAAACCTAGGCATCTGATGCTTAAGCCATAGCGCATGCGAAAGTCGGCCTCTTTATGGAGGAATTGCGAAGAGTTGCTCCTCCTGCGCTCCAGCGATCATGAGCTGTCCAGAGTGACATGTCGAGCATGACCAGACAAGGCTGGGAGAGCTTACCGATTTCATGGACAGCTTGTTGAGGTGCCAGGACACCAAGCGGCAAAAGCTAATGGACCGTTAGGAATAGGGCAATCCTTACTCTACATTATGCCCTTACTTTGATCTGTTGCTTGGTGCTGGATGGTTTTGGTCGCGCTAATTGGAGAGCGCGATGGTGCCTAGCAGAAGAAATCCAACGCAATATCAGTGCACATTAAGAGGAAATGATTTCACCGTGATCTTTCATGAGTTTTGTTTCCTAATTGAGGGGAATATAAAAGTGTTCGACAAGATGAAATTACGGGGCTCTTTTGGACTGTGGAAGAGACAGGTAGTGCTATACCTGAATTGGAGAACCATATTGAAGTGGCTGATGCTCCAATTCTAGCTGCTACTTGCTTGAGTAGCAGCTGGAGAATAGGCTTCCAGACTTTCCAACCTTGAAGTTCTGGAGAGAAGCATGGCTATCCACCCACTCATTTAAATTGGTGCATATTTTATAAAGTGTGCAAATTATTAATTTTCAGAGATGTTTCCTTGACAGTTTAATAGGGGGAAGTGTATCACATAATTGTTTACCTGAAATCCCATTCAAATATTTATCAATCAGTTCTTTCAGACATTCTCTTCTACTAATGTCAAGATACAGAAATATTCTGTTGATATTGAGATCCAAGTAATTCACAAATCTATATCTTGAAACCGAAGTGTTCGGTTTTCAAATACATTTGTATAAGTCAACTCAACTAGAATGCCTTTGAGCTGCTATCTCCGAGAGAAGTTCCACTTTATATTCAGTAATTCTTAAACAGCCAATATAAAACCTTGCAAGAACCCTAATTTCTGGTGGTTATTTGGGCAATGGCGGCATCTGGCGGTGATGCGCCGTGGCGTGGCGGAAATCCGTGGCGCCATCGAATGCTCGAAATGGATTCTTGGAAGCTCGATCGAGATTGAATGCGGGCACATTCCGGCAACAGCAGCAGCAGCAGCGAGGATGATAACGGCAGCTACATGACTGTTCACAGAGAGCGGAAG